GAAGGAAAAGATGACTGTTTCTTTTAAGTCTGATAGTTCTTTAACCGTTTTGTTTTTGTTTTTTTTTTTTTTTGTTGTTGTTGTGTGTGTGTGTGTATTTCAGCAAGCTGTAGAACTGGTGTGTGTTAATACCAGTTGCACTAAAAGTTGTTTTGTTGAGTTAAAAGCAAAACAAGAAACGTAGTAAACATGAAACTACCAAGATCTTACGCATCACATAGAAAAATCTCATGTTGTCCTTGGCCAACTTGTTCGGGGCATATTTCTCTGCATGGGACTCGGTTTTTAACGCCGCTTCTTCCGTTGTTCATTTTTTTTTCATTTCGGTTCTTTTTCATTAATCCACCTTGATCAGATTAGGACTGTGCAAGGAATCCCACAGCAGAATGGGGTAGCAGAACGGATGAATCGAACATTGACAGAGAGAGCTAGAAGCATCCGCATACATTTGGGTCTACCCAAATAGTTTTGGGCAGAAGCAGTCAATACAGCATCCTACCTAATTAATCGTTGACCATCGGTGCCTTTGGAGCATCGAATACATTCTCCGGTTAAAAGATACCGTGACCCTGTCTCACTAAAACTGTCATAACTCTCATTATGGTTAAAGTTTCTGTGTGTGGCTGGTACCATTGGAAAGCCGACTTAAAGCTCTTGAAAATGGACCCTGTACTAGAGCCGTGCCCTAGCCATGGTCATTTTATGACATCCAAAGTTTCCAAAATTAACAAGTTGTGCACAATAAGTATATACCAAATGCAAAATCTGCTCGGCTGCAAACAAAACCATATTGACATAGAAAACTGCTAAATCGTTGAAACCAAGCACGAGGAGCCTACATAAGGCCGCACAATGAGGTCACGGTAAAGTTTCAGAATTTGATCCCAAATTAGCTGTGGAGCCTAAACTCAAGGATTTTGAGTTATCTTTCCAATGGTATCAATGTCATTCTCAGATTCAAATCACAGTGAGAGTTATTCATGTTAAAACTTATCGATAATCCGTTTGCTTAACAAATCGGATATGGATTTGGATCGCTAACGAGTTCTCGGACTGAATGTCCCAATCCATATCCTATTTAGCTCTACCATTCATAGGTAATAATTAATTATAATGAATTCATGCTCAAAGTTAGAACTTTATTTTGTCCTTTTATCTTCCTCTGTCCCAAAATTAATTTCTAACAGTGGATCCTGAACCTCGGCCTTTAAATCATGGGTATTTGCCTCTAAAGTACCCAAAGCGGTTAGAATTTCTCTTCAAATGCGGGACTTCTTGAATTTCCTGGAGAATATAAAGATTGGTTTGGAAAATGAGACAAACTGTTATTTATAAAGCACCAAAATCGATTTTTACTTTGTGTGTTTTCAACCTTAATATATTCTATATGCTTATCGTCTGATTTTAATATAAATTTCGCACTCATTTAAATTTTTTGCTCGTGTAAAATTTTATGTGTAAAGGCCTCGCGTTTGAAAATTAGCCTAAAGCCTCTCAAAATTTTTGGAATCTAGAGCCAGCCGTGTATCAGCCGATTCAATTTGTCTGGTCTAAGATTTGATTCAGACTCCTCCTTTAACGAAGGTATCAAGTTTGAATTCAATTTCTAAACTAATTAAGTGAGCCAATGACAAACGGTATTGACATGAAATACCCTCAATATGATTTTATGGTATAAAATTTGATTCAGACTCTTTCGCTTTTGTGACTATATCATGATATCATCGGTAGTTACGTAAAAAAGCTGAGAATAAAAGATTATATTGTATCATATAAAAAGGAGCATAATTAGTAAAATATGGTGATAAAATACTTGTTTACCATATATATATTTTTTTAACAGGCCAGCATAAAAAAATATGACCACGCATGTATTATTTTTCTACTTTTATACTACAAATAATAAGTATGAAGCGTTAGATATGGAGATTTTCAAATATTGAAGAGTTTGTAAAAATTGATAGATTGGGGAAAGAATTCAAAAGGATAAAAAGTTTGTAAATTTAGATATAATTAGGTAGAAAGTTCTAAAACCTAAATCTTAATCATTGATTTAATGTATCCTAACCATCCATCAAAGAAGTAGATGTACATATATAGGTAGGATTCACATTTGTAAGCTACAAACCCCACAATACAAAATTCATATGTATAGGAGTTAAGATAGGGTTAGGATTTAGAAAGAAATTAACTGTTAACTTGGGTTGATTGAGATTTAGTTTGAAATTCAATTTTAAAAAAAAAAATCTCCTGTCATTTGATTAATTTATATTTTACTTTTTCATAGAATAAGTTTTGAACGGGAGTCGCTTACATGAACATAGTTTATGTATTCGGATTATATAGTGTCATACCCTAAAATTGAATGTGAGTTGAAAAAACACTCCAAACCGGATATTGTCGTATGAATTCCCAATGCACTACCCACACCAATGAACCATTGGATCAAGATCTCCCATCATAACATATCGATCAAATCTGAAACTGCCCCATCATTCATCAACCAGAAGTCAACTACACATAATTGAAAATTTTCATTAAAACATTTTGTACATGGAAAATATGTGACTTCCAAGTGACCAGGAGCTTCAGGCACAATCTATGGGACCTTAAGAGTTTAAAACCATTCATAGAAGCTATGCGCGAATGATTAGGAAAATAAATCAAATTGTGAGCTTCAATCATTTGGAGTAGATTCATTCTCAAAAGCGAACTTGATTAGGATCAAGTGCCAGAATACCCCGATAAGGATCAAGAAGCTACTCAAAACATTTCGATGAAACTCTAGCCTTAATTTATATATGCGTACAGAACATGTACAAAATTAAAATTATAATGGTACATTAACCAGTGTAGTTCCCGTCAATATCAAGGATGCTGGACATTAAGCACACGCTTGCTTCACAGCCCCGCGAATTTTTCCAGTGAACCAAACAATGGTCCCTTGTATACAACATATACCAATGTATACTTACATCCACATTGTTTCAACTGTATCAAGAGCAGATCATGAGTTGACATATACAGCAAAATGACACTCACCTTAGATGCTTTCGTGTTATGCCTACAGTAGCCTAAAGATCAACCACTGAATCGTTTCAGCGGTAAACTGTGGGAAAGAAGCAAGATCTGATGTGGTTTGCCAGAATTGTACTGCCTAGAACATCGCCAGAAGGATATAAAAACAAAAATGGTAACAATACAAAGCATTAACAGACCACATGACTTCCTCACCAGTAAGAAGACAAGTTCAAATCCTAATAATCTACAGGTATAATTCATTTCTCCAAATTAACCAGTTTGTCTCGAAGCAAATGCACCAAGACAAAACCATTACACCTACTGTATATATATGCCACAGTAGTTCTCACTGCTTATAAAACTCCATACCAACTTCAACAGTGTTGTGACTTGTAACCATTTAAGTAGGCATTTCCACGTCCAGATCAATGTTCCTATGGCATGCAACAGGATATCTTAGCATACAATGGAAACAGAAGGGGCAGTTATGGTCCCTGGAAGGGCTGGTTTCTGGCGACATGGTCCACCTTGAGAGTGCTATCAACATCAATTTGTTGCATTCATCACGTACGGAATTGCAAAACAATTCATACATTCAGTACATCAAACCAAATAGCCTAATACGTAAGCAGGCGGCTGAGAAGAGCATACGGCATCATCCCAACCAACACAAGCTTACAATTAGTCAACTCTTAACAACTATAATTAAAGGGCTAGCCTTGTGCACAACGCTCCCGCTATTGTGGGGTCCGGGTGGGTCAAATGTATGGAGCTTTACCTCCACGTGCACACAGACTGTTTTCCCGTTTCAAACCCGTGACTTCTATGGAGCGCCAAATCCCGGCCTCAACTCTAACAACTATAATTATGAGTAGTTATACTCATTAAACAAGCATTTCTGACTCCAAAGCAGCAACTCCAAAAAACTCAACTCAAATGAAATAAAGAGGGGGAAAGCTCCTCAAACAATTGAGTTCAGCAGTCTATAAAAAATAATGGTAGAATTGTCTCCAAGATCCAATTCAGGGCTCCAAGCAAATTTAAAGATATTGTAGAGGGAAAATTTTAAAATATAATGATAATACAAGAGAAGTGCCAAGGAAACCACAAGGAAGTTCCATTTTTTGTTCTATATCGTAATTAAAAGGCATAAAACCAACTGGACTCATGATAGAAGATTATCTACCAATTATTTTTCCCTTTTTGAGGAGCTAAGTCGGGTGGATATCTTGGTTTGAATGCACAAGAATTATTTTGAGGGACCATTATCACTGTTAAACAAAGTAACAAAAAAAAGAGGAATGGAAAAACCAATCAAATGATTAAAACAAATATTACTGTTGTTTTGTCATAAGAAATACATAAATAAAATAAAAATAAAAATAGTTTCAACATTTTCAGGAATTTTGGTTTCTTGAAAATGTTTTAAACATATTAATATGTGATTGAGTAAAATGAAAGTACTTGGAAAACCTAAAATTGGCTTATAAAATTTATTACAGTTGGAAAAAAGCTTTGTTGAATTTAATCATTTTCCGAGTGAAATTTGGAACTCATATGCCCAGACAATAAACAAGTATTTATACTGCATATATATTCACTCATAAATAAATATAATGTGTATGTATATAGATGCCCATGAGCCAACCTATGTGAAAACCCATGCGACATGCCTGCTTTTGCATCTACATACATATATTAGGTGTTATCACATATTTTCTGAAAATTCATACTTTTTTTAAAACATCCACCAAATACAGGAAAACAAGAAGGAATAATATTTTTTATGTAAAATTTCACAAGAAAAATAATTCTGATGTAAGACATGTTATGTGACTCGTGCCAAAACAAATGAAGCATAATTAAAGAACGATTTTTCTTTTGGAAATGCAGAATAAAATCTTAACATGCTACCTAAATAAAATAAAACAATTTCAATTCCTCCAAGAGACAAAATGCTGGACACAACTAGCGCGGAATAAACAAAAATGAAAAGCTTCCTTGTGGCTTCCAGTTTATAGAAGCCCTTAAACAATCTAACACGAAACATTTCATGATTGATTTAAGAACATCTGGACCACCAAAAAGAATTTGGTTTAGGTCATATAATGTGAGCTTGACATGCACACAATTCAAAAAATCTTAAATCACCCAATCCAGTCATCATGATACAATCACGGTGATCAAAAAAGCACAATATGTTTTCTGATCCCAGTGTTATATAGTTGGGCAAAAGCTATGCTATCATCCGAAGCCATAATTCCACAACCACAGAAGCGCACAAGGAACTACTGTGGATGGTAAGAAGGATGGTGTTGTGGTGGCAAACCATATCCACCATAAGCAACTGGTCCATCAAAACCAGGTGGCATGTATAATTCTGATGGGTACTGATGAGACCCTCTAGGGGGTAGGTTCCCAGGGAAACCAAAAGGGGACCCGGAAAAACCATACTGCCCATCAAATGAGCCCGAAAATGGAGCAACAGCAAGATTGGAGCCTGCCAAGCCATAAGGCCCGGCTGGGGCACTAAAGAATGGAGCAGGATGATCTGGCAACAAACCTGCCGCCTGTAGATTAGGTTGTTGAAATGTGGGTACAGTTGAATTGCCATCAGCAACACTATTTGGAATTGCTGCTGGACCAGCTGATGCAGTAGTTCGAGGGCGCTTGCTTCCACCACTCTTCTTCTGTTGGTTTGACTGCTGCCGCTGAGGCATTGGGGCAGGGCGTTTCCTTCCTGCCTTTTCCTCTTCTAGCTCCTCAATACGCTTTACAATGCTTTCCTTTGGATACTCGGATTCAAGATTGTGGTCCTCAATGACTTTGATAACTGATTTCAATGCACCGGTTTCTCGCATTGTGGCCTCATTCTGCAAGAGAAAGTAACCAAATATTATTTCGGTGACTAATTGAATTTGAAACAAGTATTTTAACAGTCATAAAAGGACATGTACTATTACCATTAACTGAAGAGACTTGTTTTTACCCCTGCGGATTATCTGAGCAAGATTATTTGCCTCCTTCACGTATTCTTTTAAGATGGGTACTGGAGAGAACTTGTCAGTCAACTTGAACTCAAAAATAAATTTGACGGCGAGAAGTTGTTTTCCCTTATCAATAAGTTTTTGAATGAGATCTGCAAACAGAAAAAAACAAAAAACAAAAAAATACAAAAATACAAAAAAATACAAAAAAACCAATAAATAAATATATAAACAATAAACAACAACAACCAAAAAAACAAAAAATAAGAAAGAACAAGCAAAATTGTTGTTAGCATCAGACTTTTCCAAAGGGGGCATTAATGACAACCAAAGATCACTACTTGATATTGGGTTCTTGAGCATAAAGTTTCCACTGTTATGTATTAGTTTGCTTAGATTGAAAGGTCTACAGTAACCAGGGCATCAAATGTCCAGATTAACAACTTCGATGCTTGGATTAAGCTGACTCCTGGAGTGAGAAGTTAGGCTTGTTTATGGGTCATATGTAGATTAGATCAGGGGTCATCTGACTTATATTGGTACAAAATATCAAAATCCAATCTAATACAATAATCTAATGGATGAACACGATTCAGACCTGCGTTGTTTAACAAACCAGCTAGGAATCTAAGTTCAAACTCATTTCATTTATATCAATGAATGAATTTAAAAGACTCTTTAACAAATCAACCCCTGAGCAGTTCATGACACCTGGTTCATTTGCAACCATAAAGACGAGAAGAACAGAGGGAATAAAAGAATGTTTCAAGGATGTGGGAAAGGGCATGGCCAATGATGTAATACATTATATAAAAAGGCACAAAACTCAAGTAGATTGTCCACGAAACATCGTTGAATATGCTTTTTTATATTTTATATGAAAGCATTTGGGGAGATGATTTTTGAAAATATAATGTGGATGAGACCAATACTAAGTAGAACCATCAGTTATAATTATTATCTTGTATGAAAATAATTGTCAGCGGTAAACTGAAATAATTTTGAAAAGTTCGCAATTTTTATTGGTACATATGGCACAAACGGAAGCTGGGGCTTTGGATTAACTTCCTTTAATTGTGTTACAACCCCTATATAACCAAGTCTCTGTACAACACTTGTTTAGCTAGAACTGGCAAAATTTATTACTCTAGAGCTTAGAAGTTTCAATCATGTGCTATCAGAGTTCCTCCTGGAGATAAAAAAAGCAATTCCATGCATCTTCATTTCATTCACTCAGTACGACTGAATGTTGGCCCTCATTCACTTTCTTCCATTTTCCGGCAGATAGAAGTTCCAAATTCAATTAATATACCTCAGATATATATAGAGCTATTGATCATGCATTCACAATTTTAAATATAGGAAATGTATTGGTCAAGCTACTTATCCAAAAAAAATTGCATTGGTCAAGCTGACTTATATAATCTAAACACAGCAGCAAAAGAAAAAACACCATATAAACAATAAAGCATAAACAAAGAAGGGTTAAACAGTGAACTGCATTTGAAAGAAAGCCCTCACCGGGGATCATATCCGTGAACCCGAGCACTCCATACAACGTGATGGCTTGTTTGTACGTGGCAATAGCGAAAGCAAAATCAAAAAGCTCCTCCCTTTTAAAACCATCCACCAATCCATAGGTTGCCAAGAGATGCAAAAACCCCAATGCCTCCAACACATTCTTCTCATTAGTCCTCGCCTTCTTCTTCCACTCCACCGCCAAATTCATCGCCCTCGCCTTCACCTCCGCCTTAATCTCCGGCTCCAACCCCATCAGACCCTCCAACAGCGCCAGACAGCTCCTCTTCACACCACCCGAGTCACCATACTTCATATTCTTAGCGCCCTCCGAAACGGGCTTGTAGAACCCCTCCATCGCATCCAGAACCATCACCGGGGCGTCCGGCGCGCACCGCAGCGCGTCGGGCAATTCAACCCTAATGACGGACCGTTCATTGGGACGATCGGCGATGTACTTCCTCAAACCCAACCCGTCCATCTTCTCGCAGAACGATTTCAACTCGGGGCGAGCCAGAGCGAAGCCCGAGTCGGACGAGTCCTTGGGGACGATCGCAGAAGAAGATGGGGGTTGCGGTTGGGGCGATGGATGGGATTGGGGTTGGGATTGGAGGAGTTTGAATCGGTGTTCGAGGGAGGATTGGAGGGTGGTGAAGTGGGAGTCGAGGTCGGACCATGTGAGAGTGAAGGAAGAGAGAGAAGAAGAGTGAGATTGAAGGTCTTCGAAGGCCTTTCGGAGCTTCTCTTTCTTAGCGTCGATGAGCTTCAGAGCTGCTGAGATTGTTTTCATTGTCGCCATTTTTTTTGATTTCAGGAAACAAAGCTACAAAACCCTAATTTGCTGAAACCATTGTGAGAAAGAGACTGCTTCCCAATCGGACGACGAGTCCAGAGAAAGGTCGGGGTTCAACTCGGCGAGCCTCAACCCAGTTCAGTATAATCTAATCCTAATTCAATTTTCAACCCATTTCCTAATTCAAGTTAGACCCGTATCCAGAGTTTTCTGGACTGAACTCGGGTTATACACATACATGTTTAGACTCTAGTCTTGGGACCCAAAAGTTTAACCTAATACGCACTCCTATGTCTAAAGTTTTGGACAAAAATTTATAACAGTTTTTTCTCACTCGTACCCGCAATATTGGGTCTAATTGCTCTGCCTATCCACTCATCTTAGGTCTTGTTTGGGTGGATTTCCTAAAACCCAAAACGAGTTTCTAAATTCAAAAAACCCGTTTCACAGTAAGTTTATTGTTTGGCAAAAATTTGAAACCGACTTCCATAAAAATCTAACTCCTTAAAAGCCCGTTCAGCAAGAGCAACTCAAAGTTGCTTTTAAAACCCACTTCGCCAACGTGAATAAGTGATTGTAAAATACAATCTTAAAAAGAGATAATGATAAAAGTTTTCTCTCAATTATCTCTATGGCTTCACCATTTACGGCTAATGACAAAACAAACTGGCTGCCACCGAACCAGCATCACCTGATCAGGTGGCCGCCACCACTCCTTCCGCTGCCGCCTCGTCGCTAGCGACGCGACTGCACAACCCTTGATATCACTTATGTACAATGTTATGCTTCTAATTTGTTATTCAAATATACAACAAATCTGAAAAATTAGGCTTCAAATGGTGGTAAATTTTCATAGACTTTTTATATAGACATGTTGGATCTATTTGCAGGTGTTAAAAGATGAAATTTATATATTGAGGGTTCTTTTAGAAATTGAAATAGGGATGAAAATTATGCACGTGAAGGATGAAGGCAACGAATTTTGCGTTTGGATAATTTCAACCCCGATCCGGAATTGTGTATTATCAAACCACTCTAGCAGTGGATTGTACTGGAGCTTCTAATTGATAAAAAAAAATAAACACCCATCTATATGTGTGTATATATATGTATGTGTGATATATATATGTATATGCATCGATTGGTCTTCTTGCCATTGTTGGCTTAGTGAGACAAAATGAGAAGGTTAATGGGTTTAAAGGAAGATGGAGGAGTACGATTTTCTTTCTTATTATGTCTACTGCATTATCATTTTGTTAGTTACAATATATATATATATATATATATATATATATATATATTTTGTATTCTCTCAACCTTGGTATTTCATGTTAAAACAGTGGTGAACTGGTGATGCAAAGATTGGTCTTTCAGCAAACAATGGGGAGATGGATTGAATGGAAATGAGAAATAAGGAGATGGGTATTCTTGTCAAATAAAAAATTATTTTATTGTTAAAGACTTGTAAAAAGTGGACTCACCAAACAACTTTTGTGCTAAATTCCTTTGGGCAAAATTTCTTATAGGAAAGAATTATCAACAAAAGGACTTTGGGTGTTGAAAAGCTCTCGCAAACAGGGCCTTAATTGATTGCAAATTCACTAACAATCCAAACACGAAGTTAATCCTCTATAACAATTTGAACATAGACCTAATCCTCCATATGGTTACTTATATGAATGATTGAGTTTGCTTTAATACCATTAGTAATTATCCGTTCGTCATTCAATCAAAAAAAAAAAAAAGTAAATTAAATTTTTTTAACAGCATATAAATAAATACAACATAAAATGTAATTTATTCTCAATAAACTAATTTTTGAAATGATATTGTTTTCTAAATTATTTTCTAAATGATTGATATACAATGTAACAATATTTTTAAAAAATAAGTTGACCAGTAAAATAACGGTCATGATTATAAATGTAAAAAAAAAAAATCATCAGTTGACCAATAAAATAACGGTCATGATTATAAATGTAAAAAAAAAAAAAATCATCAGTTTACCTACACCTCAACGAAGCCTAGCCCAAACTAAACTCAGGTTATGAATTTCCAAATAGTTGCCAAGCCCATAAAGTATTGGATTCGGAAAATAATAGAAATACAAATTATAGGCCTGTTTTCTTAAGCATTTATGTTTAGTGTTTATTTAAACAGTTTAGAACGAAAAACATGTTTATGTCATTCATAATTCATGAGAATTACGCTGGTCGCAATTATGATTAGAATGTCAACATTATGATTAGAAAGTCAGTAAGCAAGTTTTGGATGAGACACCTCCATCTCAAATCCTTCACGCAAAGATATATATATATATATATATATATATATATATATATATATATATTTTGACTTTCTCCCAAACAAGACCATAATTGGGTAAGAGTAAAAATTTATTGCGCCCGCTGCCGTGTAACGGGCGTATTTTAACCGTTCATACACGGCATGTGTAGTATATGCGTAGGCATATATATTATATGAACGGTTCAAACGTGCCCGTTGCTTAGTGTAATGGGTGTAATGAAGTTTTTCTCAGTTGAAAGGTATTGAAAGGGGAAGAAAAGAAAGGTAACGGAGGGATATGAAATATTAGGTTTGGTAAAAAAAAATTACAGGAAAAAATAAAGAAAACAAAGGGATTCAAAATGATACAAATTATACACGATGTGTTGATTTTATTGTCCATTTTAGAAATAAAAGGAAAGAAGTGCATTTTTAATGAAAATTTATTATTACTAAATTTGTCCATACTTTTATAAAAAAATAAAATTTAGAAAAAAAAGGTAAGATAGTAAATTCATTAAAATATTTTCCTTTCATTTCTTTTACAAATATGATTAATATAATTTAATTTATTAATCAACCAAACACAATAAAAGATTAGCTATTTCCTTTAATATTTTTTTACTCTCATAACTACTAATGTCACGTTACAAAACATAACCTAGATATAGGATCTTACAATTGTTCTAAAAAAATTGCTAGTTTGTACTACTGATATTGTCTTGAATTCTCTTGTTTTAAAATTGGACAGATTTAAAAAAGAAAAAGAAAAAATGTAGAGCATAATTGCAATAGCTACTAAAGATGTATATTTATGCATATAAAATGTTGAGGCTGAAATTCGCGCAGTCCGATACGATACCGTTTTCCTGTAAGGAAGAGAGGAGAAGATCGATGAACCCTGACGGCACCGGTGTGGTGCCTGCCAAGAGCTCTCCGACGATCAAATTAGTCACGGAGGTCTAAAAAGAAGGCAGGGATCAATAATAGTTTTTTACGTCGTACCTTCTTTAATGGCTTGGTGCTCTATTTATGGCTGTCGATTAGAATCAAAATCGTTCCGCCATGTCGACGGTTGATCTTATCTTCCGCTTGTGCGAAATCATAGGAGATTTGTTGCCAAATTTGTGGGGATATGATTTAATTCTTTTGACCTATAATAAGATTATTCTTACCTGTTAAACCACGTCAAATTTCATTATGCTTGATAATAAAATCTAATCAATCTTATCGAGTATAGGGTAGATTTATATTTTTCCCTATTATAATACATGTAAGTAAGTATAATAATAAAAAAAATAAAAATAAAAATAAAAAAAGTTGTTTCTAGTATAAGTTTCAAACTTAATGAACAATCAGTGTATCTATATTTTTAATTAAGTCATATGATACGTGCATTAAATATTTTACATATTATACATTGTGAAAAATAATTCACTTACATAGAAATTATATATTGTTTTTTAATTATTTTTAGTAGAAGAGAAAATGAATTTTAAAATCCGTGCATTGATTTATAGTAACATAACTGGTAATAATCAATTTATCCTAATTAGTTCATTTTCCTACTCAATGTACCCCATAACTATCATACTATCATCTAATACCATATATCTATATATTATCTTAAGTGTTACGACGAAGTGATTCAATTATGTGATTACATGTACTTTTTTGAAACTATATATCTATATTCAAGATAAAGTATACATTATGTATCTTTTTAATAAGTTAAAAAACAATGCATTTAATCAAATGATGCAACTTGATTAAACAATGGTTTTTTTAAATAAGTAATAATTTTTATTTTATCCTTATACTATAGGGTTGACAATTTAACTCACAGGGACGGGTACCTATCCCACCCCGCTCCGTTACAGCGATTTTGGTGATCGTTTAGTTTATTTGAGTGTGAATGATTTTTATAAATAAAAACTCGCAGGTAGGTAATTACAAAATTATCATTATTTTATTAATATATATGATTAACTCTAAATACCTTAAGTCACATTCACTCACTTTCTCAATCGTTTTAATGAGTGGCAGAGCCTACGCACTAAAAACGTTCATACCCTTAAATTTTATGTTAAATTATTGATTGCGTATTTTTTATAATTTTTTTATTTAAGAAAAAAAATTAAAAAAAGAGGATAAATTCTAGAACTAAACGGGCGGGGTGGGATGAAAAAGTCCTTTGTTTAAGCGGTTTTGAGCGAAAACAAGATAAGAATTCCAAAACCGCCCATCCTGGTTGATTATAATTTTCTTAAAATGGCCAACGTTCCATCCTTGATTGATTCATTTATTTAACTCATGTTATATTTTCCATTTTGTTTTATCTACTTCTAAAATAGTAAAATATAAACTTAATAGTTTTTATTTTTAGTAATGTTTATAATTGGCAAATCAATCCATTCCTTTATTTTTATTTTTTATCTTTCTTTATCCTCCTTTTTCTTTCGTTCACAACCTTGAATCCAAACACCAGACATGTTTTTCCTCTCCCTTCTTTTTTCCTCTCTCTCAAACGAAGAAAGAGAAATGGATAATGACGACCCAAAATAACATCCAGATCCAATGTAAGAAAGCAACAAGTCAACTTCGTCTCTCTCTCTTCCTCTTCTCTCAACCTCTCTCTCTCAAAGCGTCTCTGACAAGGCTGCAAACACACTCAACCCACTATTTCTTCCCAGAAAACTCCACTATTTTCACACACACTCTCTCTCTGAATCGTCATCGTCAATGGATATGGAAGACTCCCACTCTTCACACGAAGACCTAACCACATCTTCCGAGCTTCGACTTCACAGCTCCAACGTCGAAAGTCACGTGATTCGCAGCTCTCCCCAAGTGTCCGACGCCACTCCCGACGCCGGAGTGCTCTCCGGCACCGGATCCAACTCCGCCAAGTACAGACTCATGACGCCGGCCAAACTCTCCATCTCCAGGTCCACCTCCATCACTGTCCCTCCTATTCTCACTCCGACGTCGTTTCTCGAGTCCCCTGTTCTTCTCTCCAACATCAAGGTCACAACTCTCTCCCTCTCTCTCTCTATATATACACACACGCACTCACTGCTTCGCATCTTTCACAAGTATCCCTAAATTTGAGTAGTTTTTAGATGCGGATTTAGATCGGATGTTCGAATTCCATTAGGAGGTGTTTGGTTGTTGAGAAAACGAAGGAAAAGTAAAATAAAACTAGGCATTCTTGTGTTTCTTTTTTGTTGATTTGGTTATAGAAATTAAGTGAAGGACTTGCTAACGTCAAGTAAAGTTGTTGTATTAGGCTCCATTGATTGAGTGAAATTCAAAATGGAAGTTCTTTTCTTTTTCCTACATTATATTATCTCCACAACCAATTAGAGGGTATGGTTACGTCAGTGCTTCTTTAGTGGAGAATTTGTGGGAATTGAGTGATGTGACCTATGGTGTTTATTGAGCTAAAAAAATGCTCTTTAATTCAAGTACAATTTGAAAATTTGGTTCCTTTCACCACTTTGCTATTTGTTGGCCTAATTGTTTAAATTGGTGCTCCTCTGGAGTTGCATATACATATATTTATATATATTAGTTTATATTATGCTGGGACCATTTGATTCTGATGCTCTATTACAGTATGCAATATTAGCTTCTTTATGGCATAATGCTTGTATGAATTGTTCTAGAACTTGTCTTTCTGCTTATACTTTTGCTATTTTTATTGTTTAAACTCAGTGTTGTTTTTTCACAGCATGAATCATCCTTTTTTCGTGGTGCTTGGCCTTTTGAAATTCGATGTGTTCGGAGAAAAAATATATATATATGTGTATACACATGTTCCATTTGTATGGATATTTTTTACAAATCGTAGTGTCTAGGTAACTTTGATACATATCTTTGCATCTATGTTGATAGAGAGATTATTTGAGGGATTTTTGAAATTTTGCTTGATAATCCGTCACTAATTTTGTGACAATTAGCAAGTGCCCAAAAGTTTTAACTGTTTTTTAGTGGCAATTTTGATGGCCTCTTAGGCTAGAATGAATACAACTTGCTTATATCTTACTTAACCCCGACCACCCCCACCCTAAATTGTTTTCTGGGAAGTGTGTATTTGCTTTCTGTGTTCTGGTTGTTGGTACTTAAAGTAAGAATTCCCCTGTTCCATAATTTTTATAAACTTCCTTTGTAATCTTGCAGGCAGAGCCTTCTCCAACTACAGGTTCCTTATTCAAGCCTCATTTGATGCATGGATCTGGTAGCATCACTGCTTTCTTATTAGCGACAAGTTGTTCGAAAAGCAACACCTCTGATGAAAGGAAAACAAGCTCCTTTGAGTTTAAACCCCACACCGGATCTTATTCTGTCTCAGGATTATCATCGGTAAGACCTTCAGTAATCCTCTGATGAACTATCAAATGTTGAATTTCACATACTTTTTCCTGTTCAATAAATTGACACCATGGTACCTTTTATAACTTCAATCAGGGGGTTTGTCTGTACCTTCATGGTTTCTGATTATTGGATTATGCAAATCAGAATATCTTTTGAAGATATCTTAACCATGCGATTTGCCTTTTTCTTTTCCACATTTTCCCCCCTCTAAAGTTCTTGCACACTTCGTGGTATACTTGGTGAATGATGACAATGATGTACTCATCTGGAAAATGTTAGCATGGTAATAAGTTTGGTTGGACTCTCTGGAGAGTATATGATGTTGGTGCCATGTGAATAGATGACTTTTAAGGGGTTACTTTATTTTAGATTTATTTGCATTTGTAAGTATAGGACACAAATGTTGGATGATAAATTTGTTTATCATGTATGGCTAATTTATTTTTATATTTCCCGGAAGGTATCATGTAGAAGATTTGCGCACATAGCCATATAGGCAATACTGCCTCGTTTCTTAAAAATTCCGATTAATAGGATAGTAGGGTCCACATATACCTCCTATAAATGACCTTATTCATTTTCCTATAAATATATATTTTTAATTTTCTGATTAATAGGATAGGATGGAGGTAGATGAGGGTCCACATAGACCTATAAATGACCTTTTTCTTTTTCTTTTTTTCTTCTCTTTTATATATATATAATTTGAAATGGTAATTTATTAGATTTTCAATTCCACACGTGTTTTTGAGTATCCTTGAATGATTTTGGTTACTAATTATCTAATGATTTATGTTATTTTTCAAGATCTCTACAGGTATGAACCACCAGCAAAGTGAAACATTTGAACGAGTTCAAGGTCAATGCCAGTCTCAACCATTTCCATCATTGCCTTCTGTTAAAAGTGAGAAGGCAGCCTCCTCAAAAGAATTGAATATATCTGCACCTGTTCAGATGTTTAATTCAAGGGCTAGTGTACCTGTTGAAGTTGTTGATTCTGATGAATTGGGTCAGAGAGTACCTCCCAATACCGGGGCCCAGGCTTCACAGTCTGATCATAAAGATATTGCACCTTCAGTTACTACTGAGAGGTCATCTGATGATGGATATAACTGGCGAAAATACGGTCAGAAACTTGTCAAGGGAAGTGAATTTCCACGAAGCTATTACAAATGTACGCATCCTAACTGTGAGGTGAAAAAGATTTTTGAACGTGCTCATGATGGGCAGATAACAGAGATTGTGTACAAGGGTACACATGATCATCCTAAACCTCAACCTACCCGTAGATATACTGCTGGTGCTATTATGTCCATCCAAGAAAAAACTGAGAAGATTTCATCATTAACTGGTCAAGAAGGTAAGTGAAAGAACTTGTGTGATTTCTTCTTCTTCTTCTTCAAATAGTATGATAACTGATTTTTTTTTTTCCTGTTCCTTCATTGAAGATAAGTCCATCATAAATTCCCAGATCTATCGTAATGGTCAGCCAAACACTCCTGAGCTATCTCCCAGTGGAGCAAATGATGATGGTGTACAAGCAGGTTCACGGTTCAACAGCACCAATGATGAGGTTGATGAAGATGATCCATTCTCGAAGCGGAGGTGATACACCTAGTTTGTTAGAGGCCTTTGATTTTATTCTATAGTACTTCCATCCGTATGCCAACTCTCAATAAACTGTCAAAAATTTTAAACAGGAAGATGGATGGTGGTGGTATTGATGTCACACCAATTGTTAAACCTATTCGTGAGCCACGCGTTGTGGTTCAAACTGTGAGTGAGGTTGACATACTAGATGATGGGTATAGATGGCGTAAATATGGACAGAAAGTGGTGAGAGGCAATCCTAATCCAAGGTATGTAAACCGTCACACAGTTACAATGAGTGTTTGTTTCTGGTTTTGTTGATATGTTCTATTTCTGCATTTAATCATTCTGGAATATTGAAAGTAGATTTGGAAAAAGTTTTACATTTTTTGTTCTCTGGCTTTCTTGGGTCCAAACCAAAGTCATAAGTGGGATCTTTGAAGTCTTTGTATCGGACCGAGGAAGTGAGCATCACAAGTGACGTGCTCTATATGTTCTACTATAAAATGATGCTTGGTGAAACTACCGAGGCTCCTAGAAATCCACCGAATAAGTTAATTCATGTTTGAAATTTGCTGATTATCTTGGCCAATCATATAGTGAAAATTGTTATAGAAATATATAATATTCAATCATTTAGGGAGATGACCTGGTTGTCAAAATTTCTTAAATAATGGATATTCGTTAGGCATATTTATGAATGATGAAACAAAGGGCTGTTTGATAACCTCTATTAATTGCTAAAGGGTGGTTTGTTCATTGATGGAGTTTGCTCAAATTTAGTTACCCCCTCAAACATGATTTTAACCTATAGGAGTTTGAATTTTCAGTCGGGCATATAAGACTTGATTAATTAGCTCTAAACAGACTTGCTGGAAGGTACTTTAACATAAAGAACTAAAAATGTTAATCTTAACACCTCGTTTGGATTGAGGGAATTAGAGAGACAAGTGAACACCTGTTTTGCCATTACTACCAACATAATACAATTCTTTACATTCTTTTCTCTAAACTATGTTTTCTAGACATGATGTACGGTTACCACTATCCTTCCTTTTCTTTCCCTCCTTAAGGGCAAAGTGCAAAAAACCCCCCTGAACTATTTTCTCCCTCCCAAGAAACATCCCCCTGAACTACTATTTTGGCAGTTAAACAACTTTTTTATTTTTTTTTGGAAATCCCCCAAGCCTTTACTGTTCCAGTCATGTAATCACCAATTTTTTGAAAAAAACAATATTGCCCTTTATGACATTTAGGGCATACCCATATCTAATGGCTTAACCCATTTTTAATTGGTATTCTTCAATTTCTATCGTTGCCAGAGTTGGAGGTGGATCAAGGAGAGGAAAACAGAGAGAGGGAGGCGGATCGGAGAGAGAAGGGAGGGGGGGTGGCGGCCGTGAATGGTGGAGGTGGTTGTGGGGAAGAAGAATCTTTATGGGAGAGAGGGGGGGTTGGTGGCGGCCGTGGACGAACAGTGGGATGGTTGGAGAGAGATGATTAGAAGATTTAGGGTGTTGCGCCGAGGAGTTGTTTGGCGCAAGGACTTGTTTGGCAATTTGGCAATAATGAACCTTTTTTTTATTTATTTATTTTATCACAGGCAATAATGAACTTCAGTAACAGTACTTAGTGATAAGAAAGTTGTGTTGCCCATTTTCTATTGGTTGTGGGGATTGCAGGGGCCACGCCAGCATCTAAAACATAACAAATTGACGATGTTTAATTAAGGGCAAAAACGTAAATGTTATTTTCCATTGATGGCAACTTGACATTTTGTCCTTAACTGCCAGTTATTTATTTATTTTTATTTTTTTTGTGTTGGGGGGGGGTGGGGGGTTTGCACTTTTACCAGCTCCTTAATCATCCAAACATGCGTCAACACTATCCACTCACTTCCTTTCTTTCCTTCTTAAATCAACTTAAAATTTTAGGTATTAGTAATTCACTACTACAATTTCTAGTGTTAAATTTCAGTTTCATCAGTGCCCCCCGGCGCCGCGCGCTCCCACCCAATATTGTTAAGACAATCTATGGCTAGAGTAAGTGACTAGAAGATGGTCGACAAATTCTGGTCTGTAAACTTGTCAATAGACGGATTACAGGAGTTTTAGTTCTTGATTTTCTTTTGAAACTAAAAGAAAGTTGTTCTGATATTCTTTTATGCCTCCAGATTTATTCCCCATCTAATTGCTAGAAAAAAGAATGAGAAAATATAATTAAATCTTACGTGTTTAGCTGACTAGTTTTGAGAAAAGCGGAAAACTAAACTTGGGAAGGCCTTATACTACTATCATACTGGAACCAACTGGAGCCCCATTTTGTATGATCTGAACAGTGTGAGCCCAATTCCTCTCTTTTTTCCTCCTATTTTCATTTTTTAGATGACAAAGAAATATTTATTAATGAGCTTGTGATGCAGTTGGTACAGTTCCATGACTTATTACTCTTTCCATTATACCCATTTTTTATACCAGCAAGAGAAAAATGAACTATTCTTTTTAGTAAAAGGGTTGGGCACTGAGAGCAGCCTTGCATTTATGTTATATAATAGATATAGATACCTTATTCTGAAGAAGATTTTGCTCATAAAGCAGACCTGCTATGGGTATTTCAAATTCTGTTTTAAACCTTAAGAAGTTCAATTTATCTAGAATCATGATCAATGCATTCAGCAAGTGCCAACATTATGGCCAACTGGAGCTAGCCCCTTTTCCAACCCCAACCTGCCATTTACTTGAAATCTGCAGGCTTGTAAATAATCACACAATCTTTAATTGGAGCAATCTGATTCTGATCTGAGCCAGATATAAATTACTTGGTTATGTTTTTACAACTAATTTATTATTTGCAAAAGTTATTTTTAACTATTTTTAAAATGTGAAAAATTTGGGTTTAATGTGCATTTCTTGACAGTTTATGAACTAATGGGATTCAGGTAAAGGCATTTTCAGTATAATCCGGATCCAACCATTGCCAGTCAATTACTCACCAAGGTTGAGATAAATTTTCGGTACAAGAGTTTCCTGAACTAGGGAGAAAGAGAACCTCCAGCTGCTTTGATCACTATTTTTTTTCCCCAAAAAGAAAGTACTGACATTAGACATGCATTTGTAGACCTAATATAATTAATATTATCTCTCACAATTTAGATGCTGTATCCTCAACCCGGCATAGAATTTTGTGATGCATTTGTTGACCTAATATTATCTCTCACAGTCTGGTTGGTTCTGAGTCTTCTGACTTCAGTGTATGATGCTTCTGTGAAATTGGAAGTGCGTGGCCATCATGTTATCATGTGCTCCATTTTTCCTGAAAAAATATCTGAAACTAAAAGATTCATAACTTGTTTAAATGTACAGTTTACCTTGACATTTGTTGTGATCCTAATTACTATAACCTTGTCTTGTTATTGAAGGATTAATTTTATCCATTTGGCTTATTTGCTAACCATTTAGAACTCCCCTTGTTTTTTTTTTTTTTTGTTTTTCCTAGTTGGGACTCTCACACACTGCCTCCACTGAGGTCGAGCCCTTGACCTCCCTTTGGGAAGTAAGAGCCTTGTACCGCTAGGCCACAGGCTTGTTGGTCTCTTTTTTTTCTTTTTCCCTTAGTTAAGTAAATACTCAGACACAGACCCAAAGGGTAGAGTTTATCCCACCTGGGCAATGGCCCTGTGGTATTATTTCTTATTTTTCATACGGAATGACACTCAACATGCATGCTCAATGACACTTAACATGCATGCTCAATCTTCTGAGAGGAGTGTGTTAATTTTTTTTTTTTTTTTCTTTTTTGCTTTTCATTTTCACCTTTTTGTTCACCTGATCTCTGTGATGAGATATATGGTTGTTTCTTACCATTTTCGCACGTTATGCAGGAGCTATTACAAGTGCACCAATGCCGGATGCCCAGTTAGAAAACATGTGGAGAGGGCATCCCATGATCCCAAAGCAGTTATAACCACGTATGAAGGTAAACACAATCATGATGTACCTACCGCTAGGACTGGCAGCCATGAAATGGCAGTGATTGGAATATCAAAAGCTAGACCAGAAGAGAGTGATGCAGTTAGCCTTGATCTTGGGGTAGGAATTAGTTCCGGCACTGAAAATAGATCCCTTGAGCAGCAGCAAACTCTGGATGCTGAAACTTTCAGAAGTCAAGTCCACAATACCGGTTCAGACTATAAGGTAGTTCAACTGACCCCAGTTTCGGCATACTATGGTGTCATAAACGGTGGCGCCAATCAGTATGGACATATAGAAAACCGTGTTGACAACCGTGGCTTTGAAAATCCACCTTTAAACTATTCTTCTAACCCATATCCTCAAAATTTGGGAAGAATACTTTTGGGCCCATAAAACTTTTTGATGAATTTGAAGAAAAATAAAATGAAGATGCAGTGATTATTCTTGCTTCGTGTTGGTTTGAAGGATCAAGTACAACAATCTCGAGATGGAAGTGCAACTCAAATCAACACAACAGAATATTGTCCCAACTATTTGGTGTCAGCTTTATGAACCACATCTTCCATTCTGCTCATTCTCGATATATATATATATATATATATATGATATTAATCTTTTTGTAGAAATATTTTTAGGTCTGTTCTTGCTGTATCTTTTACCTGCTGTCTTGCAGCTGCCTTCTGTATCCAGGTGTTAATATTTTACATTAACTGTTTTTTTGAGCCCAGAAGTTCTGTACAAATACAAAATTAGTACAGGATAGTGATCTGACCACATTTTGTAACTCAAAAATGCTTGTAATGGGATGTATTTGCAGAAATATCTGACCACAAAATGTAACTCAAAAATGCTTGTAATGGGATGTTTTTGCAGAAAATACTTATATTGTTCTATTAGTATTTCAAAAGGCTTGTGATTATTCTGTTTTGATTTGAGAAAGTTTTGATTTGGGTTGAGAAGGTCTACATTTTCCCAATTTCATGCTGGGGTCTCATATAATCTGCACGCAGGCATGTCTCGGGAACTAGTTTAGCCTGAATGGAAAGATCAAACTTCTTATGTGGCTGCTCTAAACCAAATTAGAAATGATTTTCCTTTGTCAAAATATCATATACAATGCATGAAAGCTTGCATGTGTCATGGACCCAAGGCAAGGGTAAATGACATATAAATTGATAATCTCCTCTGGAATTGCATTTACTGCTGAACATTATAGTGCATGTTAGAAGGAAGTCCCTCACGGGCTCGGGTGGGGAACCATCCCGCCTGATTGTTAGAGGAGTTGTGCTAATTGTGCAAGTTCAACCTTGGATTTTTTGTGTCCAACAATGAAACTCACAAATTCAAGAGCTGAGATTGTGCAGTCGCGATTGTACTTAATATCTCTCCTTTGAAATTTGCTTATTTGATTGTGCAGTCGCGATTGTACTTAATATCTCTCCTTTGAAATTTGCTTATTTGTGGTGTATTTACCGTATAGGTTTAGCGTGTCTCTCCAATGGATGGAAGTGTTCAGATATACCCCCGCTAACATACAATAAATGTGTTGTGTTACATGACAATTGTTCATTTTGGAATCATGTAATAACTTCTCGACCAAAGCACATATGTATTAACGTAATGTTGTTTGCCTTTATTACAATAACATTACTCAATTAAATATTAAAAAATAGTCTAACAAATAGGACGGATTTAGGAATGGATTACACAAAAAATATTTTATCCAAATATTAACCCACCCATTCAATATCCCCTTAATAATATAAGGCTACTATATTTTATTTTAGAATTTCAACAACAATTTACTTTACTGGTTGCAATTCTTTGCAATTTTGTGACCTTTCATACTATAATTGTTTGAAATACAGACTCTTCCCTACCTCCTCTACTATGTTGTTTTACATGTTTCATACCAATATGCTTCACGCTCTATATGTCAAAATCATCATCGTCCATCTCCCTGCAGAACTTACACACGGTGACTTTGCTCAATTGCGCACTAGTGCAAGAAGGAGCAAGAAGGAATAATACGTGTATTATTATTTAAATGATACCATCCACCTATTTATGAGCATTTTACCTACTCTCTAGAAGTTTTCTCATCAATATCTCTACACTCTACACATATCTGCAATTAAATATTTACTGTATTTACAACCTCTTCAATATTTTAGAATCTTCCAACTCTCTACGTTTACACTTTACAATCTCCCCACAACTAGAATAATGATAAGTAGTCCAATAGTCTTACAATTACAACTAATTTTACATGAGTATGAATGTCACTCATCACAATGTTAGAAATGTTAATAACGATGTTAGTCCCTTAGGTCTGAATTTTGAAAATTTTCCCCTTGTATGACAACATCTGACCACCCCTTAGAACTCCACCTCGAGGCACTTAGAAGCCCCCAACAACCCGATTTAAAACGTAGAATTAAATTTCTGACATTTAATGTGTAAATCTTAATACATAATTATTAGGGGTGACAATTAGGTGGATTTTGCGCTAATAATGAATGAAGTCAATCTCTTATTATTAACCCATTTATAATGGGTGATAAAAAAATTGAATATTAAATGGGCTAATTAACACACCCAATCGAATTACCTAAATATTTTTAGATACAAATTGTTAAATTATTTTAATTGTTGGATACCAACATATATATATATATATATATATATATATATATATATATATAAATAATATTTTTATATTAAATTTATTAATTTTTTATTATAATTTTTTTTTTGGGAAAAAGTTACTTACCACAGCCAAAAAAAGAAAAAAGAAAAAAAAAAGAGATGAGAGAAAAGGAGGAGAAGAGAAATGAGAGGAGAGAGAAACAAGGGGAAGAGAGAATAGGAGGGGAGAGAGAATAGGAGGGGAGAGAGAGAGAGAATAGACGGAGGGGGGAGAGAGAGAGAGAGAGAGAGAGAGAGAATAGACGGAGGAGAGAGAGAGAAATAAGGGAGGAGAGAGAGAGGAGAGATAAAAACCAGAATAGAGACATAGATATAGAAAATATTAATATTAATAATATTATAACCCCTACACTCCAGTAATATTATTAAGGGAGAAGAGAGAGAAAGAGAGGAGAGATAAAAACAAGAATACAGATATAGAAATAGAAAATATTAATATTAATAATATTAGAACCCCTACACTTCAGTAATATTATTACTACTATGGTTGTTGAACAACAAATAAAAAAATTATTTTTACATTAATTTTTTTTTATTTCGAGCATTATATATGTATATATATGTATTTTTTCTTTTTTGTGATAGAAAAAAGAGAGAAAACAGAGGAGAGAGAAGATAAACAAAAAAATTAAATAAAATTTTATTTGAACAGTTAAGATGGATACTCATTATTCACCCACCATTGACTCTTAAATTAAATGGATACCCATTTTTTATTTATTATTGACTCACTCACTTAAGTTTAGATATCTAAATAATTTAATTTTAGTGGACGGCTTGGACTATTTAATGGGTTTTGGACTTAAATTGGCACCCTGATAATTATAAATGTTTGGATGAATAAGTGGACAATTGAATTGGTAGGACGACCCAACCGACGGGGGTTACTGCCGTGGTGATCATAATAGAGAACATCAAGAAATGATGTGCCCATTGAAATAACACTTCAATTGTAATCCTTCTAAATTTAATCACAACTTAATATTCAAGCAACATCATTGAGCCGATCTACCAGAAAAATTCATGAACCCCCTCGAAGCATTCAGGGAAGATGCAAAAAGTTAATAGGATGAACAGTTCAATAAGATCCCGGAGAAGTTCGAAAAAGTAAAATAAAATGGTGAAATATTGGCAATATAAGAGCCGTTCCAGATGCATGGTACATGGAACTGAGCCGTAATGATTATATGGGCACAACATGATTTGCAGAGGAGGAAGTCTGAGAGGGGGGTCTGATCTTTGAAAATATCCCACTTTTTCGAGTAAGTAGAATGATCAGATTGAACTGCAACCCAGAAAAATTCAAGAAAATGGAATTCAATTGAGCAAATCAGTGATAATCAAGTGAGAATATCGTCACACTACAAATGGGAAGAATGTTTATGATTCAAATAGTACCGGAAGATCCTGTTCCAAGTAAGAACACTTAGATTGTGCGAAATCCCGGAGCTATACTCCCCTTGATCTGTTAACTATATGTTTAAATGTTTTGCAACACTTCTTCGTTCAACCTAGCATATGTCTTTTTTCCCATGAAAAACTCATATATCATCTAAACCACAAGAAATATTAAATTTATGCGTAGTGTCATATATATCAATCCTTTTGGTGCACAGTTTATATCTTCTGCTTAATCAAATTATCCTGACTGATGAATCAAGACAGTTTAAGATCACGTACGGGATATAAAACAAGGCATGACCGGAGAAAAGCTTATTTATTACCAAATGAAACATAATCCGAAAAAGACTGTAAATTGATGGTCTACAAACGACTGGTAGAAACATGACGACTCTCTAAAGAAAAGGAAAAAAAAAGATGTACCTGATTTTACCACCTTGAAACTTACAAAACATGCACCAAATACAGTTTGAGTTTTACTTCCATGCACAAGAGGCTACCAAGTCTCGATTCATCCAGCCAAGAAATAGAGACCCATCTCTCTCTTCGAGCCTATAGTTCTCACAGTAGTTCTCCAGCAGACACTTGATAGTAGCATTTACTAAGGAGCTCAGAGGGTACGGTGTAAACCCAGCCATAACAAACCGTGACCTCCACTTTCCAAGAAGCTCATGTCGCTCCACTCTCTCAGTCCCTTCACATGCTATTATATTGACAATCTCCCGAGCCAGACAATGCTGCTCAACATTGATTCGCTCCTTATGCTCCCTCGGTAGAGTCACATCAATTGATTCAAAAATAGCCAAGTAATAGTTCATTGTCTCAAGGAAACGAGGAAGAAAAGGAGCAGTGTTGGTGTTAGATTCTTGCTCGACGAGAGTCACAACCTTAGGAGACAAGCTCTTAACTTGCCTCAACAATCTGTCTCGATGATTCTGAGTGCCCACACTCTCATCTGGCATGTGGTGGAGGATGAATGCAAAATTCACAGCCAATGCTTCATCAGGCAGAATCCTAATATTTTTTATATCAAACTCAGAACCTGTAAAGGCTGCAGCATGGAACTCGAATGGTACATTACATGAATTTGCAAGTTTAGATAACCTCTGTCCCACGATATCAAGTCCTCCTCCCCTAGCATAGGCCGAAGTGGAATCATCGAATCCAGTGATACGCACCCGTGGGGGTCCACCGGGCCGAGCTGCAAGAGCCTGGATTAGGGTGAACCACTGGCTGCCTTGAGAAATCTGAAAATCAACTATATGTATTCTGTTTTCATCTTTCATGGCTTCAGCAATTGCCCCATTTGCAGACATATATCCAAACTTGAAGTAGGGGCAAATTTCATAGAGCAAGTGCATGTATGATAGGAGTTCTGCACTGGCAGGCTCTTTGCACCTTAGGGACTTATATATGGAGCTTCCTGAGCAAGCCAACCTAGCAATGAGCCCTTCCAACATGTACGCTCCTAAACGTTGTATTGGCTCACCAGAAACCGACACCATTTGACGTAACTCTGACATTAACCATTCAGCTGTTAATAGATCATTATCTGCTATCGCTTTCGCACAGGCAGTTAGCCCATCTTTCAAGTCCCTTCTGGAGAGCATCTCTATAATTTCTTTCCACTTCTCTGCTTCTAATGAATCTTGATTCGATCCACTCAGAATGGCAGTATTGTACACTTCAAGGCTATCTGAATCAGGTCCCAGCATAGCAGTTTCCAGTTCTCTGATCCTATGCCTCAGGTCGTTAACATCATCTACTGGTGAGCTGTAAGTATTGTCAGGGGAGTGGTGGGCATCAGATGGGTATGAGTGAGAATCTGGCTGTGACAAAGGACTTCCATTGGGTGAGAAACTGACAGTAGACGGAGAATTGCGAACAGGATAACCACCACTTGCAGTGGCTGGTTCAAAGGTACAATACTGATCTGGAGTCTGAACAGAAATGTGGGTTCCTTGGCTACCATCATCAGAGCATATAGGGTGATCTAGACTCTCAGAAGAAACCGAACAAAAGGACTCAGGCTCTTGCACACGCTGGTCATAGAACCTGCGGGACCCATCTGAATTTCCATGTTTCTGAGATGACCGCATCAAGCAAAAACCTGTTCTTGAATTTTGCACAAGCAAAGGATATTCACACCAATAGCAGGAATTCTTTCCAGTGGATTGTTCTTGGAACTCAGCCAAACCTTGGTTATACCCAATTCTATAACTCCAATTCTTCGATTTCTAGATGAAGTCCATTAAAGGCATTCCATACATCTTCAAATTGATACTTTCTGCAGGGAAGTCAACAAGATAATTATAATTATAATAACTGCAGAAGAAAAAAGAGAAAAAAACAAATGCTCCCATGAATGAAATATTTAACCATTTTATTGGTAACTCGTAATTCAATTAACACTTTAGCAGTTTCCTTTGACAACAAATTTCTTAGAATGGATTAGAAACATTCAATTCAGTTCTTTTGTAAGAAGAAAACATCTGTAGATCCTGTCCCTCGTAACAATCAGCAGTCCACCAGGACTCCATAATAATCACAACAATAAGAGAGAAATATATCATGAGAGGATATTGGTTTCAATCAACAAAATATGTACGCACAGTAATCTTCTAACCAGCTACAAGGAAGCCTAATCATGGAGGCAACTAATTTTGCCATCTTAGAAGTCTAGGCAAGAAAAGTTTGGAACCAAAAACATTAAGCATATACCTGGATTTGGATTCTGATACACACCTAAAGGATCACATATCATGATTCACAGGGGGTATAAGAACTCGGAAAGTTTTATATTATTGGGATTACCGACGAACCTAGGCAGAATGGATGCTCCATACTGCAAAAGGATTACATTGAGCATAAGCATCACCTGACTCCAAACCACCTCAAGATCCATTTGTTCGATATAAGTTTAAATATAAGGTTTTTTTTTTTAAGTTAGTTTAAATTTAAGTTTATACACAAGAGAAGGAGTGATTTAAGTTTTAAGGGCAAGTTCTGAGTGGTGTAGGTGACTGTAGAAATGTCATTTTGTCATCTCAAGCAGGGGAAAGACCAATAGTTAATTAGTTCAAAAGAAACTTATATGACTAAGTAGCTGAATTGGCGAGCATGATGAGATTTAATTTGTATTTAGTGAGAGCTTGGTGTGAGTTGGCAATAATAGTCGGGAGAGTCAAGACTCAAGACCAAGAAACCAGCAACATATATAAAAGTCTTATTTAAACGAAAAAGAATCATCAACGCAGATCCCAAATCAAATAGTGAAGGAAAACACATACAAATAATTACGTTTTAAAGACTTCTTTAGCATTTTCCTCTCCTTTCCTTCAATCATTATGATAAAAACGAAGAAAAAAGGAGAAAGAATCTTCTATAAATCTCAATGTAAATGACAAGGAAACATTGTTAAGATTCCTCTCTTGCTTTAAGAAGTGGACGTCAAATTTGACCTCACATCAAGTTTCCCTTCTGCGCGAACTTGACTTAGTCATGTTTAAAGGGCTCCTATTTGATGCCCCTCATTCCGCAAGATTAATTTCCTGAACCATTCAGAATAAGATAATTTACTAGGGAAAAATTGAATTTAGGAAACAAACTGTTTATTTCAAATGTTGTATGGATCTAAATGTTTAACATGATTAAGGATCATCTAAATAAATGACCTTAATTTGCATGCACGTATAATGGTCTCTTTGAACATCAATATTGTCTCTGCTGAATTGTGAAATTAACAGATGCTAGAAATCCTATTGCATTGTTTTCAGTTATACGAAACGTAAGAACGTGCAAACAATTACTGAATATAAGAACATGAGGATAATACGAAGCGGAAGTGGATTCAAGAAAGATGCCATGAATCTAAACTGCTGGTGGAATACTTGGTAGGCAGTTCTCACAACTATGTAAATGACTACAAGTCAAGCATAGGCGCTTTATCCATACCATTGGCCTCGGAAGAATTAAAATTACTAATAATTCTTTGCTTTAATCTCCACTCTTGAACTATGAAGGATTCCACACATCAAGGATATATCTTAGGCATGAAAAGTATAGGGTTTGATCTATCAATCCCATCTAAACTACTAATTTTGGAAGAAATAAAATTACTAATTAATCAAGAAAAGAGGATATGTCTTACCAAAAAAAGAAGAAAGGGAATATGAAAAAATATAAAAAGTACATGAAATCTTAGTTTTAGCACAAATAAAGTTACAAAATTTTAAAAATGCCAACGATTGATGATGTCACTAGGTGGAACCTAGAAGATTCAAAGGGTTGGGTCAACAATCACTGCTTGTCTGCCGCGTATACCACCGGAAGAGATGACAAGCTCCTACACTGAAGTAATTCCACTCAGAGTCTCAGACCAAAAACTAGAAACAGAACAAAGCCCTAATGCAAAACTATTCAAGAGATTTGTGGACCAAAACCTAGACGTTTTCAGTTTAATATATCTTCAAAATTGAAAATACAACTGCAGATACAACAGTTTTTCAGACAACATACAATTTTCAAAAATCAACGAAAATACAACAAATTTGGGAATTACAAACAAAACTGCAAAACAGTACATAAATTTCTTCAATCCGTACTAAAATGACCTAAATTTCTCCAAGAAAATCAACCAAAAGAGCACTTTAACAAGGTAAGAATAAATCAATGAAGATTGTACAATAACAAAAAGTCGTACAATGCATCTACCAAACACTTCTAGACAATAATTGAGAGAGAGCTCAAAAGTAAAGCATAAAAGGGGATATATTCAGTCTAAAAGGCCATAAAGCATCCAAATGTGATTATCAAATGTCATTAAAAAAAAATTCCATCTTTCAACAATCAACAAAGGGAGGAAAAAAAAAAAAAAAAAAAAAAAAAAAGTCGATCTTTCAGAAAGTTATGAGCAACCCATATCTCAGAAACCATAATTTACTGAAAAAAAAAAAAAGTGAATCTTTCAAAAATTTATGAGCAACCCATTTCTCAGAAACCATGATTTACTGAATAAACAGACCTAAAAAAACCAAACCTGGACCAAAGTCATCACAAATATCGTAAAGCTAATCACCAAAGGACCACTCAACTGCACAAAAAAAAAGAAGAAGATATTTTATGAGTCAGAGAACAGAATTAAATAACATAAATACACAGAATTTTGGTTGAGGAACAAAAGTCAGATTGAAAATCAAAACAAGAATCAATCTAATGAAGACCCACATAAAAAAATTCAACATAAAAATTGATGAGTGGGTTTGACCTACCTTAATTTGCTGATATATACATATATATATCTCTTTCTTGAGAGGTTTTCCTCTTGTGCTTTGCTTCTAAGCTCAAAAACAAAATACTCAATGGCACTGAGTGGTACAAACCTGGAGGGATACCCCACTCACAACTAATCATGCTCTAAATTTATAGTAAATATTCATTCATCAATGCCCTCTTTCTTCCTCATAATTACACTTCTGGTCTCACTCCCATTGTCCCCCGTATGTTCAAGTGTTGACATTAATGACCAAAAAGACCTTGGATAAACAGCATGTGGTCAAACGTGTCTTTCTGCGTGTCTAATGTCGATGTATGTATAGACGTATAGTTCTCTGTCTTATTTGGCGGTTAGTCAAATACATCGTTCACTATTCTATAAACTATGAAAGACCACCTATTGCATATTCTCTATTTATTTGCGTGTACATATACATACAAACATACATACATACATATATATATACATACATATATATATATATATATATATATAATATGCATGTTATTAGGCATGTGGTTTAGGACTTGAATGACTAACCCCGAGCGTGTATATCGTCACTTATTTAAAGAATGGTGACTACAGGAGATATATATATATATATATATTCTAGCCGTTTGTGAACATGGACCATGGTCTTCATGAGGTGGACGGCATGGAGTGTTAAAAATACATTGTTTTTTTTTTTTTTTCATTTCACACCTCGAATAGCAACTTGCTATTAGCAAGTTTTGTAAATATCAGTGATTTTTTTATTTTTTATGGTCAACTATTAGATTCAAAACTCAAATTTTTTAATATGATTATAAAGTTAAAAATGTATATTAGACACTTACTAATATTTAAAGTCAAATATGTAAAAGTTGAAATTATTAATAAAGAAAGTAACGCATCAAGAGAGTTCTATTTTGACAAAGAATGTGGATCCATAATGACATTTTATCTTGATGTTTATAATAAAAAGTGCGGTATATAATGATTATTGGACTTTAATTATATCAAAATTTGTGAAAATAAAAATAAAATTAAGGTGTAATTTAATGATTAATTAAAAAAAAAAAAAACAAAGTGATAAATAATGACCCTTGCCCATTTAATAGATTTTATTGCGGCTCTTCCCTCGACAAGCCAATCATGTTCGGATAAAAAGAACTTGGGAGGAGGAAAATTTCGAAAAAACTAAAAATAAAAAATGCTAGGAGGCTATTAAAGTAATTCGACATGAAATGGACGTTAAGCAAATGAGGGACATGAAAACGGTCATAAAATGGTGTCTAGGGATAAAGGGTGTTTTTGTAAATTGACAAAATGAAGATATCAACGGTGAAAGGATAGCGCTCAGATGGCACTGGCAGTGGCCCACACGGTTCACCCACACCACAGCCCCATGCTACACCTTGTACTGAGATGACGACGGAGATGATGAAGCTGTCTCAACTTCAGTCATGGCTTACATCTCTCCATTTAATACTTCTTTTTTCCAAACTTTTTGAGTCCCCCACCTAACTCATAGAGTCGAAGTAGGAATGCGAGTCGAGAGCAAACGTACGAAAGTATTAATAATATATAGGTGCGTGTTGTAAGGACTGCCACTCTAATCACACCTAATATTATTTGTAAGGGTCGCTCGTTTTAATATTATTATATATTAAACACGTTTAATTTTAAAATTTTAGTACATTCACGACTATCATAGATTTAAAACGCATTGTATCAGCCTCCTAAAAAAAAAAATAATAAATAATGGTAACTCATCCCAAATTAATCAAATCCAAAGTTCGCCTACCATATTCAGAAAGCTGGATCTGCCCTTGTTATACCTCGTCCAGTATGGTAGTCTACTGATATCAACTGGACATGTTCTCACACACCCGTCCACAAGAATGACACCCATTTAAAAGAAATGTGTGATTTAGGTCACTATTAACAGGATTTTTTATTTCAACTTAATAAAAAAAACAATAATAAAATTACAACTCATTTATTGTACAAAATATTGACATTGGCTTATAGTAAAACTCATTAATCAAAAAGCCAGATGAAAGATATTTTCACGGCGTCCTCGTTTCATTATTTTAGTAATTTTCTTTTAATAGAATTTTAAAGTAAGAGATAAGTTGTCCATTTAATTCTTATTTTTTTCAAAATCTATTTAGATTTTGAAGTTCACATAGTTGGTTGTGTGTTTTGATCCTTCTTATATATTGTTGTTGTTGTTTTTATTTATTTATTTATTTTTTTTGTAATAAATTCTTACTTATTTACCAAATAATTAGTAGTAATAATAACAGCGCATGAAATGAAATGGATTTAAACAAAAAATTATAAATTATATTTTTGTATTATTATCTTAATGTCATTCTCTGTATTTCAATATGAATTTGATCATTTAATTGTAAATAATTCAAAGAATTTTTAATTTGATAAAATGAGATTCCCACTAAATTAGATTTTTTAATTGATTTTTTCTTTAAAGTTTCCAAAGCTTTGTCTGATAAACAAACGCCACAAATTAAGGGTTCAACCACAGACTGAATATTTAAGTTGTCACAAGTTCAATATTCAACACCAACACAATGATAATAGAGAATTTAAATAATTTTCAAGTTTATTAGAGCGTTCAATCTTGTTGATTTAAATTAACACATAGTTATTTTGTGCAAAGTTATTTAAAGATGAACTCATTTTTTGTCCTGACCTAGAAGATTACTTTGAGCATGAAAAGTGAATATTACCCTATGAAAACAATTTATACATTTGTAAAATTTGTCCCTTAACTATTAATCATCTCAACAAATGTTTGACAATACTATTTTTGATGATTTACATTAAAAATTGTCTTTCCACTTCTCTTTTCTTTTAATTTTTGTTTGTAGCAACTTAAAAAGTCATGTCTGTCGGCAACCATATATAGGATGGCACATTGTTCATAACAAAAATAGAAAAAATCCTTTATTTTATTTGACTCATTATTTATTTTATTATATATATATTTCTTTCGAGACAAAAATGTTAGATTAAAAATTAAGAGAGACAAAGACTCGAAGTCACCCCTTAAAACAACGTGAGCAACTTAACTTTTGAGTTACATGACGTTTCGTTATTTTATTTTACAGTTAAAGTCAATCACTTTATAATTTTTTTAAAGATCTAATATCATCATATTACATTACATGTCTTCATAAATTAAACGATTCAACCGATTTATATTTACATTTGTCGGAATCCATTGCACATCAAAATCTTAATTCTCAGAGGTTATAGAATGGACGTACGGTACGCGCTTTCTTTGAGTGGAAAAAAAGAGTAACATTCCAAAAGACAATCCTGAATTTGGTTGAATATTTCGTCTTCTTTTTAATTTCAACACGCACCTACGTACTATATGACGTACTATATGACTAAGAGACCATATTGCAGTTATTATTACCATTTCCGAGGTCAAAAAAGTCTTTCATCAGCAATCGTCATGGAGTCGCAATATTTAATGTAATAAATATATTTTAATATATAATCACACAATAACCACTCAGCAAAAATGTTTGAATCATCCTCCTCGTTAATTTTTTTTTTTTTTTTTTCTTTTTTCCTGAAATTCAGATTAAAAAAAATGAAAGAATGTATATTCAAACCCGTACAGTTATTTTTGTATAAAATAATATTGAGTATTAAGCATAAATGTTATGTTTAATTGCATAAAATTGATGTTTTAAATTTTAAGTTACTAATTTCGAGCAACGGAACCTTACTTTTGATGATAATGCAATTGTACACGTAGGTTTCTTGTATATTACAAATTATCATATACGATTACACCAGTTACTTGTTCACCACTCACCTACTCACAACATTCTCTTTATATATAAGAACCAATTATGTTGATTACATACAATGGCAATATAGTATAATATTTTTTCATTTCTTTATTTCTAACATGGTATTAGAGTTTTCTAATCACTGGTAAAAAGTTTTATTAGTTTATTGTAGTACTCATCGCCAGAGATGGCACCATCAATCCTATTCCGGCGGCGATCAACCTTCAAACTTATGCTTCCGCATCCCAACCTTCAATCTCAAGTTCATAATAAGCAAAAGCCTTATTTAGCTGTCCAATCAGCTTCCAAAACATATTATCGCAGTTTCACGGCAATAGCGCCATAATTCCACCTCGTTAGTGCTTCATCCTGTGTCACTTGCCACGACAATTGTCATGTCAGGCACAGCCAACAATTGTGCCAGCAGTAGTGCCACATCAGTTGTTAATCGTGTCTCCATCTGCATCATGGGTGAAAACTCATCTCCACCAAATTTTCGTCAAGCTGTTTCATAATACTGTCTTCAATCTCAAGTTGGATTCATACTTACTTTGAGTTTGAAGGGGTTATTAGATTACAAGTTTACACATTTATTTACTACCTAAGTTTTTTACATATTACAAATTATCATATTTGATTACAACTGCCATATTATTATCCATACGTTACACCAACCCCAAACTTTCTCATATATATAGGACATTTATGTAATCTTTATTAATTCAATACAATATAATATTATTCTCTTTATTTTTAACAGCAATCATTTAGCAACTATTTTTGTCTTATTGTTTAGTAATCAAAATCAATATTGTTAAATATATGAGAATATATGTATTGAATTGAATATAGATTACATAAATGTCCTATATATTGGAGAATGTTTGGGGGTAGGTGAATCATGAACAAGTAACCTATAGATAGTAATATAATAGGTGTAATCATATATAGTAATTTGTAATATGCAAGAAACCTATGTGATAAGTAAAGGGGTAAACTTGCAATCTAACAGCTCCCTCAAACTCAAGGTGAGTATGAACCTAACTTGAGATTAAAGGCAAGATCATGAAAGCAGCTTGACGAAAATTCTACTGACTGTATCTGACATGACAACTATCGTGGTAGGTAACACACTATTGCTGGCTCTGACGCTGACTGTGTCTGAGGGCAAAAGTATGGCGTTATTGTCATGAAACTGAGATGATGTGTCTTGGAGGCTGATTAGGTGGTCAAATAAGGTTTTTGCTGATTATGAACTAGAGATTGAAGGTTGGAATGCGGAAGCATAAGTTTGAAGGTTGATCGTCGCCGGGGATGGGGCTGGATGGTGCTATTCCCGGTAGTGACTAAGCTCTGATACCATGTTAAATATATCAGAATATATGTATTGAATTGAACCTATATTACATAAGGTCTTATATATATGAGAAGGTTTGAAAATAGGTAAGTGATGAATAAGTAACTTATGGAAAGTAATTTGATAGTTGTAATCATATATGGTAATTTGTAATATGCAAAGAAACCTAGCTATAGGTAAAGAGTTAAACTTGTAATCTAACTAATATGATGATGCAAAAATGAAAATTTTCTTTAAAATTATTTAGATTTTTTTTTAGTCCATCAGCTTCAACCCCCGTACCCCTGAAGTTTGTTTTTTTTAGGTAAAAGGGTAAGCTCCGTACCCCTGAAGTTGCATGACGCTCCATCTCAGAAAGTTTATTTGTGATTTAATTTTTGTCATCGCAGTAAATTATGTGACTTTTTGTACATAATTACATCACTACTCATCATTTAATATTCTGTGCTATTTTCCATTTTTTCTCACTGGTGTGTTTGATCAAAGTATTGAGAAGAATGTTTAGTCAATTCAATGCAAGTGACTATCAAATTCAAAGCTAATCACTTAAAAAAAACACACACACACACTTTTCACATTCATAATAGAAAGCCGATTAAAAGGAAAAGGTGTAGGAATTTAAGTACTATTGAATTGTCACAAAGTCAAGAATCAGATTAAAGATAAGAAGAAAATCAACAAGTCAATAAAAAAGCTTAATTTTTTTTTCAAAATTGATTATGATAGGTCTGCATTTGGAGTGGACTGTGGAGCTATCAGGTGGTTGGTGTTGACATGAACTTGTAAGTTGCAAGGGAACAAATGGTGGTTTGACAAACTAAATTTGCGGAACATTTAGAGCCTACACAACATAATCGGATTGGAAAATTGTGGTGATGAGTTGATTTAATTTTTGATGGTCAACGACTAATATAAATGGAATCAAATCCAATCAAAAGTCAAAGCGCATATAAGATGATAATGACAAGCAAAATTTTCAAGAAAAAGGAATTTCAAGACTAGGGTTCATCATCATCCATGCAATTGTTCAAAAGTCCTTCATTTCTGCTGTTCAAATTCACTCGGCCATATTGGCTGAAGACTAACCCTTGGCGATTGTCCAATGACCGGGACTCTCACCTCATATCCTGAAAGTTGACGGGAATTTTTTCTGTAACTGTTTCGTGTTTGGTGCAAGTGGGATGAGGGATTGTATGTGTTATGAAGTGCTCTAGAGGCCTCACAAATAGAAAACTCAAGTGATGAATATTGGACTACACTGGCACAAGACAACTACTGCCATTAGGTTGACAACACATTCATTTTTTCTACTTTTGGGCAAGTTATGAGCATCTATGCTAAGACTTTTATGTGTCCGGCTTCTTGAAGCACCCCATAACTCATCACCACGCACATGCAGCATGCACCGAACAATTACTAGAACAATTTCTGAGTGTGGCCTCAAAGGGATTCAAATTCGAATCCCAACCTCCATCTAGTGAGGTGACTCTTTTCCATTAGGCTATTCCATTGGAGTTGCTCCTCCAAAGGCGAGGTAGTCATTTTTCCTTATATTCGACCTAGTTTCTACAGAATGAAGCAACCCTAACCTTTCCAACCAGTAAGCTAATCCGGACATTGCAGCCGAAAGGAAGTATAGCAAACCAACGACAGCCATTGAATGGTGAAGCAACAGGAATGCCTAATAGAATGAAACTTAAACAAGAAGCGATTGATTATCTTTCTTCGCCATTTCAAATATCAACTACCTCATGATTCTTACTTTGTTAAGCCTTCGTAATGCCTTTCTCACTAAACACGAGCTATCAACAGTTCGAAGAACAGCAAGTTCATCTAAATCACAATTCCGCAATCGAGGTACAGTCACACTTCAATGTTCTCCAGTGCTCCTATATTATAATTCGTGATTCTCAAATCTTCGTCCTAGCACAGGTATGTGATTCTATTTCTACCCAAAGAGGGGAAAACAAAAAAACACTTTGATAACCTGGTATTTCTCTTTAGCACTTAACTACATATATAAACTACCAAAACATATTTTATCCAGTTTTTTAACATAAAGTCTGTCAAAAAAAAAAAAGAGAGATCATTAAGGAGACAATAAACATATGCAGCCTATCAAAGTATATCAGCTAACTTGGTACATCACAATATTACACTACAAAACCGAGTCCGAGTTCTATAGAAGTCCTAAAGCGTAGTATTTTCATTCAAATCTTATTCAATTTCATACATGTAATAACTGTTCAAGCAAATTTAAACTTCCGGACTTTCCGGGGAAAAAAAAAAAGAATAAAAAATAAACTTCTGTATACAATTTCTTTGCAACTATGATGAAAGGTATAACTGTTCCATTGGTGGCTATGTAAAATACTAACAAAATGTATAAACCAAGAACGTATACAAGGCATGCTCGAAAATGTATATATATATATATATATATATATATATATATATATATATATATATTCTTTTTGCAACATAGAAATGCGTAACAACGGAAGCTATTGATTAACCATTTGGAAATCAGAAATGTTACGAACGGTTGGAGATAAAAAGGACTTTAACCAGAGAAAAATCTTTTCCATGACTGCCACGGGAGAAATCCACCTGCCAAAAAAACCCGGTAAAGAAAGATATGTTATTCAACTCACCAAGATAGAAGAGTTGATATTAGCATCATTTAGAAAGCAAGAAGACAAACTAACAAAGTAAGATACGAATCCATGTTATCAAAGGATTTCCCGCGATTATTTCTAGTATGGAATGAGTCGATAATCCACTTTGGTATCTTACTGAACAAAAATGGTGATATTCTTCCTCCATTGATAAAATTTTGGTTTTTGGGAAGTATCATGATCATCAGAAAAACTTTATATTGAAGTGCAATGTAAAATTAAATCATACCGCAGCTAGGGCATCGGAAATAGTACTTGTTGTCCCTCAGAACCAGTCCGGAACCTCCACATACCCCACACCTCTTTTGAGCTACCTGTCATTACATTGTAAAGTCTTTAATACATAAAACATGATTCACATACACGACCAAAATTGGACAAAAGTAATCTAGTCTCATGTTAAAAGACCCATGTGATAAATAATGCAATATCATTGTTGTTTAAAGAGATTAGTTCTTTCTCTCTCGAAGCATTCCGAACACATTATGATGGTCATTCAGAAAAATTTTACTATTAAGTTTAGCATACACTTTCCTTTCAATTCATTTCAAGTGTCAAAGAGGTGATCAAACAGTGATTGACTCAATAAGACTAAAAATATGAACTTACAATTCTTTTGCTGAATTCGATGCCTGCCACCACAAAAGGGGTTACACCAGCTGCACAATTCTCACCGAAATTTTAGTAAATATAGTAAATCAAATTCATAGACAAAAGAAAGTGTAAAGATAGACCAAAAAATTAGCCATTGTTTGGTTCCTAAGAAAGTGGTGACAGATAAAAAGGGATATAAGAATTTGATGAATTTATGTGCTTTTGGTTTCCAAAAATTGAGAAACTCGCTTCAACTAGGCCAAATCGGTGTCCCTAATATTTAATGAAATTTTAATATCTAAACATAGAAAAACCCTAATTAAAATTTATTCTCTATCATTTTCTTAGTGACCAACCAGAGCATATAGCCACTGTTTGGTTTCTAAGAAACTGGAGAGAAAAACAGAATTAGGAAGACGTGACAAATTTATGTGGATTCGGTCTACATAAGTTGCGAAACTCGCTTGAAATAAGCCAAAATATTGTCCCAAATAATGATTTAAAAAAAATTCAAAAACTAAAGCCATAAAAACCCAATTGGTTAGTTTTCTTTTCTCTATAATTTTCTTGGCGACCAAACAGAGCATACTGGGAGATATGATATTACCCAAAGTGCCAACGACGATTTGCCAGGTGATTCCCGCCTGAGCTGGGTCTGTCACAGCCGAAACATCGTTAATGGCAGCTATTCTTGCCGTATCGAATTGATGGGTTTTGATGAGTCGATTGTTTCTCTCTCTACAAATGAAATGGACGGCATGTTTGGGATGCTCTGCTACTTTGCTTCTGGACAGTAATGGCTTGGAAATCGGAGAGACCACAAACGGTGAAGAAATTGAAGTCTCCATAAGTTGGCTTTCACAGAGTAACAAAGACCGGTCGACGAAACGATGGCGTTTAGGTGGTCGGCGTGTAATCTGTCATTAATGGAGATGGACTGAGTATTTGAGAGAGTGGCGTTCGAATTGAAGCACGTCGATTCGTTATGGGTTCGCGCCAACCACACAGTTGGATCGGATCGTGTGGCTCCGATTGGGTTGGCTTTGGCACCACACCACATTATATTAAATCCTTTATGACGAATTTACCCCGAGCATTAATCTAAGATAAATCATAAAGTTTTAAGTTTGTTAGTAATTTTCTAGTTTTATAGGACTGAAAAAAAGAAATAATAATACAATTAACATTTATTTTTTCTTTGTTTTTTAGCCAAACAAGGATGATTTCAAATTTGAAGAAATACATTCTTAATTTATTATTATAATTTTGTGAGTCCACTTTTTTTAATCGAATCGTTTAGATTGAGCCGAACTTGACCGAACAATCCAGTGTTAATGATTTAGGACTATCTAATAATTTTTTAAAAGTGAGTGTGAATTTCTAACATGAAAAAAAGAATTACTTAGTTATGGTAAAAGATCAAATTTATTAACATTAGGACACAAATGAAGTTTAGTGTAAAACAAAAAAAAAAAAACTTTATGCAAAATAATGCCAAATGTTATGTGCATTTCTCTTTTTTATTTTTAGAGATGATGAAATTTGAAAACTAGAACAAACTGATTAATTGATAATTGGACTTGAACATCAACATCTAGTTGAAGGGCTAGCGTACATTTTTTTTATAGAAAACAAATGTATTTGAACAATTTTTAAGACCCACTTTTCAAGCCTTTTTTTTATAAATAGATTATAGAACCCACTTGTGAAACCTACTAATAAAATATTTTAAATTTAATCAATTTAGAGAGTTCCCATGTATAGTATTATTCTTTTATTAGTACTAATAATTATTTGCCAAGCAAAATAGAAAAAGGATTGACCCGACCCAAACACTTTCAACCCATGTGAAATATAAATTGTGGCTACAATTGTAGTAGTACACGTGACGAAGAAAAACTCAGCACTAAAACCAAAATTCAAGGGTAAATCTTATTTTTGCAAAATTGGATGAAAACTAAATGCTACCAGTTTCTATTTACCCCTATTTAAAAAATAAAAAAATAAAAAAAGTAAAAGGAAAAAGTGTCCAGTTTTCTTCAAGGGTAAATCTTATTTTTGCAAAATTGGATGAAACTAAATGCTACCTGTTTCTATTTACCCCTACTTAAAAAAAAATAATAATAAAATAAAATGGTAAAAGGAAAAAGTGTCCAGTGTTCTACTATCCTTCCCATGAAGCAACATTTTTATTTTATTTTAAATCTGGCCATTGAAGCTGCATTTCACATACACATATTTTCTCTGCACCATGAAACATAAAACTCAACCCACCCACCTCTGCAACAAAATAATACAGGCAGACGCGCACACACAAAATGCAGCATGCAAGCATGGAGTGAAAGTAGCAGCTAAAACACATCTTTGCCCCGAGTTTAACCTACCACCACCACCACCACCACCACCACCGTAACAACTTTCTTGGCCGCTGCAGATAAATGAAGTTTCCAGATCAATGTTACACATAAATTGTAATAACTCCATTAGTTCCGTGCAACCTGGTGAGAGTCTTGATATGATCAGCCAATCATGTCAACGTTTTGCTTTTTAAGATACCTCAAAAGATAACACTGAAACAGCTAGTGATACTAATTACCAATAACTTGAAAAAAGTTGTTGAATTGGGGGAAGCTATAATACTAACTAAATACTCTGACTTGAATCCCATTTCACTATTCAAATATTCCAAGGACATAAACTCTAAAAGCAGCAACAACAAAGCTTTTAAGGGAAATGTGATTTCTAAATGCGATTTCTATAGCTTCCCAGTTCAAACTATACTTACCAAAAATAAATACATAAATAAACAAAACTATACATGCAGATATTTCAAATTTCCTTGGGTACTTAAACATTACACCATTTACACCAGGGCTCAAGAGCATTCAGATGATTAATAAATCCATAGGGTTCACAAGTTCAAAAATGATAAACAAAATCAATCTCTAATTTTCAACATAAAATAGGACTGTTCACCTGCTAAGTGGTGTGCAAGGACATTTGGATATAAAAACCACAAACTACATTTTTAACTTTTTAACTGCCAAATGGAATCTTACGGTTAATATTTGAGGTGTGCACATATTTTCCTGCACATCAAGGGGCAAGCGAACATTTTGGCAAAATAATATAAATATATAAATATATATATATATATATTTGTTTTTCCTTTTCTGATAAACAATTTCAGAATCAAAACTTGCAATCACAATACACTCCAAGTCAAAATTCTAAACCATCATTCATCCAAATCAAATTCAAAAAATTTGGGAAGTGACTACTTTAAAGCCCAAAAAGTTTTCTCACATTCCTCCCTTCATGTGAATACAGCAAAAAAGGCTGTGGAAATAGAATTTCTCTAAAAGGTGAAACCTTTTTGTCTGCTTGATAATATTGCAATATTATCCTAATATTTGCAATTCCAATGAGTTATCATGATGTCAAGCCCGCCTAATTGTGCATGGAGGCTATGCCCCACAGGTGACATGCAAGTGTAGAGGAGGATTCTACATGGCATGAGTAGAATGGAGTCCTAGAGTCTTCCAGATTAATGTGAAGATTGTGGACTATTGTTGAGAGAGTTGAAAGACTGTAGATATTGAGTAGAAAATTCAGTGATTAGGGAAATTTGGAGAGGTGTAGATATTAATGAGAAAAGTTCTAGAGGATAGGTAGGATATCTATAAATAGGTGAGTGGTGGGATTTGTAACCAAGAAGTTAGGAGTGAGAAAGTCTTGTAAAACAATATAGAAGTATTGTTTTCTCTTGTCAACCCATTGACTAGATGTGTGGCCAAACTAGTGAAGAAACTCTAGACCTGTGACATTGATAAATATATTAATACTATAGTTTAAGAAAAAGAAAGGGATTTTGATTTCTAGATTCCTTTACAATGGAAGATAGGATCTGAGTTGTCTATCAAATTCTGATAATAAGAGTGGACTGAAAACTCCCCTCTGAAGAATCCACCCATACCATCTCATTGCAATAGGTTTTGTTTAGTTTTAACACCTCACCTGTGAGTTTTACTATTCTTCCATGTAAAGTTGTCAAAATATATAGTTATATGCGGCTTTAATGGTCATGGTTGTGGTTTGTCATTTATAGAATGTGTATATGGTGGGATCTATTTGATCGAAACCTATTGGTTATTCGGGGTGATTGCAAGTTGCTAAAGACTTGCGGCATTAAGTTGCCTAAGATTTCTTAGAGCCTAAGCGCAAAGCACAACGTGAGAAAAGACGATGCAACACAAAATAAGGTATACTAAATCAATAAATGATGCAACACCAACTAGTCAAGATCAAAAGAAAATGAATTTTTAAGCAAATCAAAACAATGAATTAGCTAAATCAATATACATATACCTTGTCTTTGCATATGAATTCGAATTCATATAAATTAATGTATAATCGGAACAATTCAAAATATGCAACACAACTAATAACAAATTCTTTAAAATGGTGTTTTAAAATATCAACTAAGGGGATCAAGTAAATTATGCACCCTTTTAATATGCATATTCATTAACTAAATTAAACTCCATTAAAAATGTAAAACAATAAAAGTTATAATCATGTTGACTTTAAACATATATTATATCATCATAAGTATTCAGAATTAGGCACTAGACACAATTGATTTAAGCAGTCAACCGACATCCATAAACTTCTGAATTCCATCTACTATTTGATAAGATTGAAGAATTTGATCCATAAGTATGATTGTGATATAACATAGAGCATGCTAATTAATGGTCATTTAACAAAATAATAATAAATAGCATGCAAATTAATGATCATTTAACAAAAAAGAAAAGAACAAAAGAAGGAATGAAAGATAAAAATATATATAAAGTGTGTTGCCTGGGGCCAATGAAAAAGTGGGACCGTAAGGGTTTTATTAGAGTCTGACTGAGAGAGCCTGGCTTGTAGATGTTATTGTAGTTTGAGTTGCAATCCTTGATGAGAATGGGACATTTTTTTGAGAAACTATAGGTAGTAGTTTGCTCAAGTAGTGGGTAGCATATTTTGTGGAGGGTTTGTGGGAGCTTTCATGGCTGAAGGTAGTACTAGTAGTACCAAGGTTCGCGTATGAAAATGTTGGATGCAGAATGCTACCATCAACTTCAAAATAGATGGGGCTAATTACATGTAAGCATTTAACGTGACTCTGGGTGCTCAAAAGGATTTTAGTATACTTTGTCTAAACCCATACCTAGTGATGGAAAGTGCTCAGAAAAATGAATGGATGATAATGCATTAGGTACAACTTGGCTGTGGAATAGCAGGAAACCTATTATTAGTGTTCATATTACGGTTATAAGCATGTCTAAAGAGATCTGAAATGCTTTACGAGAGATGTTTCTATGAATAAAATCGTAGCTAACATCTATGAGGATTTTTTTCCTATTACTTAGTGCAGCAACAGTCTACCTTGCATACTTGGGAACCAATTTCTGTTGACTCTCCTATGTCTGATAATCTTCCAATTGGGTTGTGAAAGGTGCTCATTCTTATTTTCAATCATCAACTTAATAAAGTCGTCTCTTTTCTCATCTATATTACAATTTTCAGTCGTTTCATAGCTTACATGTTCTTATCTTTAGGCTCTGCTTTTCTTTTAGCTGAATGGGAATAGTACAATGGTTGTACAGATTGCTACCTTGCATCAAAAAATTACCTGAAAACTCAATTGGTTGTCTCTAGGAAAGCAGGAGGTTCTCTGTCATGGGGTCAAGCCCATTAAACACCATCATAAATTCATGGTCGAGAAATTAAAGGATAGCTCGTTTATCAATGGTTATGCCCAGATTTTGGTGTGGATTGCATTGCCATATATGGATCAACTTAGACACAAACTAAAAATAATGAACATAGGCAACAGAACCAACGACTCATTTCTATTTTTCAGATCAACCACACCAATGGTGAATATGGAGAATGGAGTAATACATACTTTCAACTACACTAACTTAATTGCAGAGAACAAACTTTATAGCCACCAAACGAATATTTGACTTCATATGTGCTATAGGTTTTATAGTAGTTAACTAGGAAATTTAAAATTATAAAATAAAATCGATTGAAATTTTCATTTTTTGAGCACCTAGATCTGCTTCATCTGGTCTTCATCTAAAGGAATTTAACCTCAGCTTGCGGGTTTTACTAATTGGCACAAAAGATCTTTCTTAACAAAATAAGTTCCCATTATCATCTACAAGAAACCATCAATTTTCAGAATTTGAGATAGATGATCAGCATTCCACCCTAAATATAATAAAAACATCGCTTTAGCATCAATTTTGATTCTGTGGTACAATGATATTGTTGGGAGTTGGGATGAGCAAACAATGTAAACAGCCATCAAAACAATGAAATCAAATGCACAATCTGTTGATCAATAGCATCAAAATGCCCCATAGACAAGGTAAGCAATAGCCATCAAAACAAATGCACAATTCAAAACAAACGACCCGAACAAGCAACAATAACAACAACCTGTTGATTAATAGCATCAAAATGCCTCATAGACAAGGTAAGCAACAAAAACATACAATTCAAATCAAACAAGCACCACCACCACCACCACCACCACCACCAACAACAACAACAACAATCTGATTATTAATAGCATATGACCAAATGCCTCATACAGAAACATGAAATCAAGCAAAGGTGTTCGTTTTAGTTTACCTACCAAATCAAAAATAAGGAAAAACAGAAGAAACAATTCTACTATTTCCTGTATCGAGCTACCTCTCCTTCATTGGGGAAGAAACCCATGAGCCTCCCAGCAGAATTCTGGTAGGCGTACATGAAACCGCCCATCACACCGATCAGACCCCCAGTCACCATTGAAGGACCCCTAATATTAGGTTTAATTCCTGTAAATCAATGACACCCATTTGCGACAATTAACAAGTGCATACATATAGATGATGCATATATATATATATATAGAGAGAGAGAGAGACTGTTTGGTGCATAGAAAGGTAATTACCAGAGAGGTAGCCGACGGTGACGGAGACGCCGGAGATGGTGAGGAGGCGTAGGTAATCGAGGGTGTTGAAGTTGGCAACGGTCTTGGTGAAGGGAGGGTTTCGATCTATGACTGGGTATTCTGGCTTTGCCGATGCTGTGATGTCTGTGTTCATCTTTCTTCTGCTTTGCTTCCTTCCTTCAACCCTCACTCTTGTCTTCTCTTCGCCTATTGAAATGTGGCCTATGGACCACTTCATATTGCCTTTTGATTCATAATATTTAAATTATGGGTAAGACTTCAAAATGGGCCTAGTGAGTAGTGGCCCATCTTGTATTGCATTTTGATCCAAAATGTTGAACTTTATTTTTTAAAGAAAATTTAAGCAAATTTATAAATAGGAACAAGATACAGTGCGGGCCTTTGGCCGAAACAACAAATGAAACCAGCCCATAAAAGGCAAGCCCAACCCCAAAGTCATACAGATACCTTGAATTAACTGACAAGAAATTAGCCGGGTGTCCAGGACTTTACCCGACTAATTCACCGCACGGCACTGTGCATTGTGATGAGGTTTTTCCTTCGAAAATTTGGTCATTGTTCCTCCTAGATATGAGAAACAACAGGAGAGAGACAAATCTTCCGCAGTACGTTGATTGGTGAGTTTGCCTTCTATCAGGTGCTGTAGAACCTGCATCTATCTTGCAAGAATTTTCAAATTGGTGAACTGAAGGTGCTCTTCAAGGTGACACAAAGCACAGTTGTTTTGATGATGGGACATTGCCCTGTTGTCAAGCGTTGGCAGTTTGCTTTCAAAAATAAATAGTGTGATTTTATTTTTCAGTCTTAAATGAGAGAGAATTTTATAGTAATTATTATTATTTGTCAAAAACAATTATTATATGAGTAATGCTAGTCTCCCTTATCACTAGAGTGACAAAATGAGAGAATTTGACATGTCCATCTATTAGAGAATTGAGACACATTACGGCATCCCTTTTTTAATTCTAAGTATGAGAATCACTGTCGATGAGTTTTGAATACTTTAAAAAATTTAAATTATCATGTAATTGTTATAAATATATCAAATTATTATTTTAATTTAGAAACGAGTACACATGATCTCTACAAATATATCAAGTCATAACTTGTATAGCAATCTATAAAAAAATAATATGCAATATAAAATTGTTGCGACGTTGTAAAAAACAGTAAAAATGCATAAGCGATAAGCCTACAACTACCAACGAACGCCCGTCTAACTAATTACAAAATAGAGCTAAAAAAAAGTGTATAACTGTAAAAATTAGTAGTTGAAAAATATCATCAATATGGAAAGCGAAAGGAACAAGATAAACCAGTTGGATAGCATTGGCAGATATTCGAATTAGGTCTTTCCTTGTTGGGAATATTCTCTCTCTAAAATGGCCGTCTTCTCTCTCTACCCACTCAATCCCATTCGCTCCTCTCATTCTTCTTCTTCTTCTTTCTATGGTCACCCTTCCTATTTCAATGGTGGAGACCCACTCTCCAACAGTAACAACAACAGTGTAAGAGGAAGGGTTGATAAACCCAGAAGAGGCAATTCCAGTAGGGTTTTTGTTCTCTCATCCCATTCCAACCCTAAGACTATCAAGTCCAATCGCAGGTCTAGGTACGGCCAGACTCTGTCCCCTTACGATAGCGACGACGAAGAAGAAGACAACGACGACGATTCGGATGATGATTGGCTTTCTAATGTGAGTTTTCTACTCCTTCAGCTCACACAACTTGTTATTTTTCTTATTCTCACCTTCTTTTATTTGATTCTTATTTAAGAGCTTCTTGAATTTGGTGTTCTTGGGGACTTTAAATTGCTATATAGAAACACAGAGGAGTCTTTCAATTTACATTGGACGAGACCTTGTTGATTTATGTATGTGTGTGGAACTAAGACGAAATTAAACTGAGGATTTTGGGTCTTTGGCTTTCAAATATGGTATTTGGAAAAATAGAAGTATCATGAAGTGTGGAAGAGGGCACTCTTGAATGCAACATAAACACTATTTCTTAGGGGAAGAGAAATGACTACCAGTCAGTACTTGGAAATTGATCAACAATTTTCTTTGGCACTAATTTTTGATTTAGTTGTTATTCAAGCCTGCCTTAATTATTATTATCTTAACTCGAATTCTGGGATGGAAGTTCATTATTTTTTTCATTTTGGAAATTGAAAATTATCATTTATAATTTTGATTGGGGATATTCGTGTTGGATATGAAATCTACAACCTTATTGCTTTGTTGTTAAACTGAGTCACACACAATGTTGTTGGACGTAAAGCAATAATGTAAATAAGCAAAGGATACCAACACAACTCTGCTTAAGTTGCTCTGTACTCCCGGAAACCAAAAGAATGAAAAAATGCGTTGAAGTTCAAAAGTATGCCCATTTCTTTGGAGGAGGTAACTATAAAACAAAACATGATCAGTATGCCTTCCTTGTGTTATCTATTTATCTCAGTACTGAAACTATGGCTGAAGCCAGGAAATTTCTAAGTAAATGTATCTACTACTTACTTAGAATTTTGATTTAATATCGATTAAACTAGAATTAAATATAATTTCATATGGCAATTTGTTTTTTTGCCTTTTGTTTTCAAAAGTTCAAGCAAACGTGCTCACGAATTTATATTCCATCATATGTTTACTGTGGCCTTAGATGTTGATACCTGTGCCTACTTCACCGCAGCTACTGTGATCATAATTGTCCCTATTGGAATCAAAATCTTTAGTTGGATTGCTACCATGAGAGCAAGAGGAGGAGAGGGGGGGGGGGGGGGGGGGGGGGGGGGGGGGGGGAGGATGTGTGTTGTGTTTGATACAATTCAAAACATGTTATTTGCCGTGGGGTCCATCTTTTTGTTCGCCATAGGAGGACTCACTGGAATAGTCTCGGCGACTTGATCAAGGGATCAATTGATTCCGGGAAATAAAGTAACAAGACAAGAACCCTGCGTGGACTATTTTAAAAGAATGATATTTGATAAAAATAAATAAAAAATAAAATCAGTTCTGTAATTAAGCCAAATGTTAAGTGGAGTAAAATTTCATTTTTCCTTTAAAAAATTCCATCTTTATTCATTCTAAAATTTTCATATCATGGAAAAAAAAGTAAGATTTTACCATAGAAAAAGGATGAAATTTTAAGTTTGTTAAGTTCTTTTAGTTCTGGTTGATTGAATTATTTCAGATTATTTTTGTTTAGAGAATAATTTTGCATATTAATTTTTTATAATTTCTTTGGGTTTACATAGTTTGTCATAAAGAAAATAAAATGAAAATTATTTGGAAAAAAGGAACTATTTGAACTTAAGAACTTGGGTGATTCTTTGTGCATTCATGTACTAGTAATGAAAATTGCAATATTGTGTACCAGCAAGCACCTTTGCTATGATTTCATATGCAAACAGATTCAACTTACTGGCATGTGTACTTGTTGTTCCCCTTATTTGTTTACGTGATATTTGCTGCTGGCACATTAAGTAGGTTTCTTGGCAATTAGGCTGACTTAGACAAGTATGCTTTTCTTGGTCTACATTGTGTTTTTTTAACCGACGGGTGTTTCTCCAGGATGGGTCTGCTGAATTGGAAGAATCTGATGCTGGTACACAGAGATTCAAGTCAAGTCAAAGTATGCCTTGAAACTTAAAAAATGTTTCTAGGTTGAGATTGACTAAGGTTATATCTATTTGTGCAGGCAGCCACAAACATTTGGTGAAAAATGGCACGAACACCTTAGAGAAGAGAAATCTTCGCAACTTTTACCATACTTCAAAAAAACGGCAGAATACTGCTTACTTAGGTGCAGACGGTAGAAAAAAGGTATTATTTGGTAACATAATTAAGCTGTCAAATCTTACTATGATGGTAAGGAATGGCATACTTAACACCCCTTCTCCTCTCTTCTGATTGTAGCTGGAGGCTGGGAGATCTACAAATAACAGATTTCGGCGGCTGTCAGAAGAACTGGATTTAGATGAGAAATGGTTTCCACTTCTTGATTACTTGAGCACTTTTGGCCTTAAGGAATCACACTTTATTCAAATGTATGAGAGGCATATGCCTTCTCTTCAGATTAATGTGGGTTCTGCACAGGAAAGATTGGAGTACTTGTTGAGTGTCGGTGTCAAACATAAAGACATTAAAAAGGTACTTTTGAGGCAACCACAAATTTTAGGGTATACAGTGGAGCGCAATCTGAAATCCCATGTTGCATTTTTGTTGAGTTTGGGAATTCAAGGCTCCAGAATAGGGCAGATAATCACTGCCACTCCATCCCTATTTTCTTATAGTGTGGAGAATTCGTTAAAACCCACTGTGAGGTACTTGCTTGAAGAGGTTGGTATTGACAAGGATGATCTAAGTAAAGTGGTGCAGCTGAGCCCTCAAATCCTGGTTCAGCGGATTGACAACACATGGAACACGCGATTTAATTTTCTTACAAAGGAGTTGGGAGCACCCAGAGATAGTATAGTGAAGATGGTGAGAAAACATCCCCAACTCCTTCACTACAGCATTGAGGACGGATTACTGCCAAGGATTAATTTTTTAAGGAGTATAGGGATGCGTAATTCTGAAATATTGAAAGTATTGACCAGCCTTACGCAGGTTAGCTTTCTCTTATGGACTTTGACGTTTATTGCTGTATAATTTATATAATTGGGGTTACTTGAGCTTATGATGCAAATAGTGGTTCAATGTTTCGATCTCCTCCTTCTTGTCTTCTTTTTTCTTAGAACACTCATAGTAAAAAATTTAATTTATACTTATCAGAATATGTGTTAAAATGTGAGAGTATATGTGATACATATACAAATGTTGCCATAAATAAGAAAAAGAATTCTGTTACATAGTCCGAAAGTATAAGTAGACTAAACTATGCGTATGTATTTTATTCGTCAAAGTAATATCACAAGTAGGGTCCTATTTAACATTTTAAATGAAATGGAACACTATAAATTAGTTGGCTAAGTCATTCAGCTTACTATAGCTGGAAGTTTGGCATTTTTCTAAGAAAAAACACAGTTCATCTCTTGATGTTATCATGTGATTCTGTAGGATGTTATTTGATTTATGTAAGTTTGTTTGTCATAATTTATTCAGATGATGTTGATCGTATATGCAGGTATTCTCTCTGTCACTTGAGGGAAATCTGAAGCCGAAGTACATGTACTTGATCAACGAACTTCGAAATGAGGTGCAATCCTTGACCAAATATCCTACATACCTAAGCTTGTCTCTAGACCAGAGGATTCGTCCCCGCCATAGGTTTTTGGTTTCCCTAAAGAAAGCTCCAAAGGGGCCTTTTCCTCTGAGTTCCTTCGTTCCGACTGATGAATGCTTTTGTCGGCAGTGGGCTGAAACAAGCTTGGAGAAATATTTGGCGTTTCGGCAGACATTACTACTCAAGGAGTTCGCACAAAAATATGAAAGGAAATAATAACATACTTGGACAAATATTTGGCATTTCGCCATTTCGGCAGAGATTACTACAATACTACTCAAGGAGCTCACAAAAAAATGTGAAAAGAAATAATGACATATTGACTTCGAGTCGTCCCAAGTCTACTTACACGGGTTTTGGAGGAGCAGAATGGTCTCTCTGACAACTTCAGCAACTAGTATAATTATTTTAATCGGAAATATCAGGAGATTCTAAAGTAAATCCCAGATGTCCGTAATCACTATGAACTCCCCGGTAAGATAGAATCTGGATTGTTTCATTTCCTTAGAATTGGTTCATTTATCCTTACCACAGAATGCTTAGTAATATGAAAAGAAATAATGCTTAGTAATATGAAAAGTAATATGAAATCACTATGAACTCCCCGGTAAGATTGAATCTAAAGTAAATCTCAGATGTCCGTAATCACTATGAACCCCCGGTAAGATAGAATCTGGATTTTTTCATTTCCTTAGAATTGGTTCATTTATCCTTACCACAGAATGCTTAGTAATATGAAATTGTTTCACTTCTTTAATCTATGTCAGGAACTGGTCCAGTTTTGTTTCCCCATTTAGCATATACATTTTTGGTGCAAGGCAAGAAAAATGGATTCTTTACAAACTTAAGGTGATCATGAACATCAAATGACATCAATGCCAAACCCAAGTTTTCAAGGTTGGTTCTTACTCTTTGAACTGTCAAGTCAATGAGACGATTGATTTCATTCTGCAGGCATGAAAATTCAAATTATGATAGCATTCTGGCAGTATCTCAGCTGCAAAACTGTGGCCACTAACATTAGATAATTCTTTTGCATAGTGGTGAAAATTTATATTATTAGAAGATTATTATGTGTGCCTTCATGAATGGGTAGTCACATTTTATTTATATACCAAACGGATATTTTAGGTTTCTTCTACCATGAACTGGTGAAATATTTGTTGCAAAGGGTATGAATAAAATAGGGGTGAAAACACACATATTATGCCTCCACCGGGGCTTGAACACTCAACTTATGTGGGTTGGTCAAGTTGAGACTTGAGAGGTTAGCCAAGAGACCTGGACTCCACTCAAGTGATCTTCAATCTAAGCCCATCACAACCAACCTTCAATCCAAGTCCAGCCTACCCTAAAAAAATTTGAACTCAGATTAAGAAGTTCGGATTGAAAATTGGGTTGGTTTGGACTGACAGCAGCTCGAAGAACCCTTCTGTCTCAATAAAACAAATTATTTGGAAGCCTAGTAAAACAACAATTCTATGAGTTAGACAAACAAAGAAAGGGACAATCATCTTCTTTCATAATCCCTTTTAAGTTGAGAATTCTGTTTACTAGAATAAATGAATGAATTCCATAGATCATTATTTTCTCATACATCACAAGTTCAACAACCATCCATGGAACAACCTTGTAAAAATTGATCAGGTTAAGCTCGTACTGGGTTCCAATTGCCCTGTATATTACCTGAATTTAATTTAGGTTTGAATTTTACAACCTGGCCCCACTCGAGCTTTAAAAAATGTTGTCTGGACCTGTGTACAAATTGGATTGGATATGGTTAGCTTATCCAAGTTGTGCTGGTAGAAGTAAGATGGTTTGTTAAATCTTAATGTAAAGTGTTTTATAATAAGGCATCTGTCTCAGATCTTTCTATGCTGGTTATGACTGTTTCCTAATGTTTACCTTAACTCACTTCAGGTCTTTTTTTTTGTTTGGAACTGCAACTTCTCTGGAGCATAGCCCTGAAGTATCAAGTTTTAAATGCTGCTCTCTTTTGGTTGGTGAGCCACTTGTTTATTTTTTCTTTTTTTCGCTTCTCTTAAGCTGTTTTACTTAATTTCATATCTTTGTTAGGTAATTGAGATGTGCTTTTGTTTCATGTTCTGCCTTTGAGACTGGGCATTGAGGAAGGTGTATTAGCTTGTAACTTGTACGATACTGTTGATTCTTGTTTCCTTTTTTTTCCTCATCGTACATGTAAAGCAGAAAAGTTCATTTTTAAAAGCACCAACTTCTGATTTTTTCCCTGAGAAAAAAAATAAATAAATAAAATAAAATAAAATCATAAGTTGGTGCTTTCTTTGCCTGAATGCGTAACTGTGCAATATTATTAGTTTTTATTTATGTTTTGTTTGATTTTTGGCTAGTCTGAGTTGAGGAAAATGATTCAAATGTTCAGCCAATGACATTGGGGCAATCTGTTTTGTTTCACAGTTTATTAATTTACAGAAATGCTCTAGTTATGTTTGCTTCCCCCACCCCCAAGAAAAGTAAAAATTAGATATGTTTGCTTCCTTAGTGATAAATTGCAGTTGTATTTTTTCTTTTCATCTTCTTAACCTTACAAAAAGAAATGTTACGCATTTTGGTTTCCTTATGAATATAAAACGTTAGTTTTCATATCTTAATTCACACCTGAGTATATATATGTTTAACCGAAAGTGGGGTGTGTTCTAGTGTTACATTAGGACTGAATTCAAAGCAGGGTATTTGGAAGGTTGATGATGGTTATCGAGCTTTGCTTGAGTTCTGTTCTTGAGGAATCTCAAGTTAAGCTCATTTAGCCTTGCTCGAATTGAGTTTGAGATCAATCTCAAGAATGATTTAGAGAAAAGAAAAAGGAGTTACAAAACTTACTGAATCCTAATAAATGAGTTGTCTGTTCACAAACATGCATGTATAGACATGATCAATAGGAATTGAAAGAATGGATATGAAGTGTATAGACATTTATACCAACAATAGTATGAATGGGACATATATTTATATCTGAGAAGTTTTGCTGTTCTTTGTTTTTTAAGTTTTTAGACAATGAATGAAATGCTATAGACAGGCTCATTTTGATCTCATACTCAACTACATTGTGCTTTTCTGAGTGGTGGTCCCCTTAAAGTTCACCATTCATAAAAGAGGTTGGGTTGGATAGTCTTTTCGTGAAGGTTGAAACCTGTCTTTATTCAAACTATACTTTTTCTTGTGATACTTTTGTAGATGTGTATGATATACATTTGACTTGCTCATTCGTGTGTGTGTGTGTGTGTGACCAGTTTGATTTTGTTAAGAGATGAGAGAAATAAGTTACTTGTTTGATAAAACTGAAACACCACAAGAATGATTTCTTGTTTAATATAGCTGATGACCTTTAGCCCTCAGATGATCAACTTGATGACTCCTATACATTTAGCTTAAGTTTAATGTTATTGTTTTGATCTTGTTATGATAGTATGTGTAATGTGTTGCACAACTAGCATGATAGAATTACGCACGTATGTATGAAATGAGAAATTATTACATGATGCGGGACGAAAATTTAACCCTTCGGATATCCAAATCAAGCAATGTAATACTGTATTTATTGCATACAACTCCTATTAGAAAGAAAAGAAGAAAGCTTGATAATATTGAATTGTATGAACTACAAGTTTTGGTTTGTCATTTTTATCAAATAACCATCTTTATTAAATATAAGAAGGTGAAAGGTGTTGCTTATATTTTGCATATATGACTAATCAAAGTTTGTAGGTCAGATAATTCACTTTTAGTAATCGGCTAAGAATCATTTTTCTTTGTGAAATGTGTGCAAGTACTTAGTTAGTAATAATAAATATATTTCTAATGCTCCTAAGAGGATCATCTCACTAGAAGAGTACTCTTGAATTGAAAGATGTATTAAATAATTTATTTAACTCCTCAAAGGTATAAAAAAAAATTATTTTTATTTTATGGTTAAATAGGGAGAGTTCACACAACATATGAAGTCAAGTCTTTGCTTGTCCCTTAGCTCCAAATAGGGAGAGTTCACACAACATGATGCGGGACAAAAATTATAGTTCACACAACCAATACTTGTTTCTTTGCTTGTCCCTTAGCTCTCTCACTTCATATTTGTCTCTCCAAATTAGCTACCTTTTAATGCAAATAGGTGGTAAGGTTCCAGATCATCTTTTTTTTAAGTTTTGCAGCAGCCGATCATCAGATTCCTCTTTCTTATTTAAGTTGTAACAACCGCAGTAATCGAATATGGCAGCCCATTTACGATGTTGCGGTGAGTATTCTCGTTATATAGAAACTGTGTAATTGTATAATTTATGATGTTGAGGTGAGAAGATAAATCTGAGCATGGTTTCTGAAAGAACGAGGAGCTTGATACTTCAATTTGTGTAGCTGGAAACCATCTTCACACTAAAACATATGAAGTCAAGTCTCTCTGCCACTCTGTTCGTTTGTTTTGCGTTTTGTACCAATACATCCTAATTCATAATAGGTTAAGATTATTTATTTATTTATTTTATTTACAATAATATAAGAAAAGTATAAAATTGTTTTCAATAGTAGCAGCTTCCCCATTTCCTGAAAGAGATATGTACTGCCTAGCTGCAAAGGGGAGAGAAAACACGTTTTTTTGTTTTTTATTTTTATACACCAAGGGTAATTTAGGCATTTTTTTGTACAATTACCCACTTTTATCCTTATGCACAAATTGAAATAGGTAAGAGAGTGTATCAAACAACATGGGCCAATTACACATTTTTTATATAACAATGGTTTTTTTTGGCATTAACGCTTTTATGATATAAAGCTCTGTTTTAAAATACAACCCAATTTTTCATTCAACCCTCCTTTTATGCCACACAACATCAATTATATACATGCATACACAAATATGGGATATGCATACACAAATATGGGATATGATATATTTACATGGAGACAGGTTAAAAATTGGAGGGGCAAAATTGTGTGCGAGGGAGAAACATAGAAAGAGAGAGGGTTGTTGGGTTGAGGTTTTCTTTTTTTTTTTTTTTAAATTTTTTTTTAAAAGGGGTTAAAATTTGAAAATTAATAAAACAATAGCAAGGGGGTACATTTTCGAAATGTTAAAAGGGCAAAAATGGAATAATACATTCACTTCATTTCGCATTGAAGGGGTGTTTTGCTGCCTTTTTTTACCACAGAGAGAGAAGGTGAAAGCTCCAATGTTACTGCTCCCCCCTTTTGCAGGCATGAGCAGCCATGAACACTAGGGTACAGACCCTCTCATTTGAAACTCAAATGGTAAACATGAAACCAATTAAAACTGAAAGCTCAAATACTATTTCAATGTTATCTATCAAATCCCTAATCCAAAACATTTCTACTTGTGCGCTTACACAATTACTCAGATGACTGAATAAAGAAAAGGATTGAAGATAGCTTTGACATTATTTTGAAAATATATACACCTAAAAAGTAGTAAAGTTATAACAAATGGGCAATGAAGAAATATAAATTAAAAAAAGCGCGCGCGCGCACACACACAGATAACACAACTATTCAGCTGTTCATTTAGTATTTTTGATTCACCACAAAGATAGATAGGACTTTGAACAGAAAACCACGGAGCGAAAAACAAAATGCAACATCATAAATTGCTACTAACCCTTGTGTTTCAAGGTAAAATTTTTCATCAGTTGCTCTGTGTTGCAGAGATTCTAAACACTATTTTAACCTCTCTGAAACCCTCCACATATACTAGCTTCTTTCATTAACTAACGACTACGTTAAATTCTCTCTACACATCCAAACCTCTTTGCCTTCTTTCTGTGATTAACATTAACAAAGAAAAAGCTTCCTACATGTACCTTTCTGTGTTATATTCTTCTTTGTAAACGGGAGGAAATGCTTCTTCCTTACCTAGTATGTACTCGCCAGGAACTTTTGATTGATTGATGATCGAGTTTAGAATTAGCGTAAAAGAGTTGAATGTGGCAAATCAAAGATGTTCCCTTTCAAAACCACTACCCTATAAACTGTAATTCTTCTTTGTATAGCCTATATAGCTGTAGATACATTGCTTTCCATTGGAGATGCAGCAAATGGGCTCTCGGGGAGATCAAGTCCTTGATTGCTGTTTTAAGTGAAGACAACCAAAAAAAAACACCCATTTCAGAAACTCGGTGTCAAGCTTACTTACTGTGAGAAACAATGATTACTTGTTCGATGTCCTATGCAAACCAAGCCATTGACAATATGAAGCGATAAAGACCATGTGACCTATGTAAGGACTTTCAACAAAATAACTATGGAGCAAACTAGGGTAAACAATCAGAACTGAATCCAATGTAACCATTTTTGTTGTTGGATTCAAAGCAAGGGGACAAAGATTATTTTTATCTACTTCAAAAGGTCATTTGGTATGATGATAGTGAGAAATGGCCAGGATGTAAGTGCAGGAGAGATGAAGTTAGTTAAGTTGGATGACTGAGAAGACCAAACAAGAAAAGGATTAAAAAGATAAATAATTGGAATCTTCGGATTAATGTGGTGCAAGTAATGGTGATTGTCAAGGAGCGAAAGATAGGAACACCACGGTACCCACGGAAAAAGAAATGAAAGAATCCATATCATTAACAGCAAGTAAACGGTAAACCTCAAGCCATAAGTGCTAAAAAGAGGCATCCTAGTAGAGGTTTACTCATACCTCTCCTGGTCAGTGCTGCAACTACCAACCACATGCTTGGGGTTGTCATCACTTGTGGAGCCACCGCTCAGAACATCTAGCAGGTGGTTGAAACGTTCAGCTGATGGGAACTTGGAATGATCTGCACAAACTATGGTTATAATAAGGAACCAAAATAAATAAATAACCAGGGAGAGGAACAAAAGAAAGTGATGATGGAAAAGCAAATGAAGAAAGATGGGAAGAATGCAAAATAACAAATAAATAAATACAGTAACAGACCTTCTGAGGCTTTCAGCTCATCCATGGAGTAGTCAATATAAGATTGATTGGCCTGAGGTTTTTGTGCTACCTGCAGCTCTGAGAGACGCCTTCTCCCAAGTTCAAGGGCCAGTTCATGCTCCTCCATAAGCTGCTTCCTGAGCAATCTAGGGGATTCCCATCCTGTTGGTCCTAAAAGAAAACTCGATATGAGATAATATAGAAATGCTAATGGTGTACACAAGAAGAAACAATAAGGCCGAAGATAATTTTGTAGTAATGGTAGAAATCTACATAGACAATGAGAAGATCTACATCCTACTATTACTCCCAAAAACGTTTCCAGCAGAAATTGGTTGTACAAGAGCATACAATATACAGTAATTTGCATATAGTCTTTAGGGTCACCCTAAAAATATCTGGACACACAATGAAGTGATATGATTGCATTTGGATTTCAGTGTATGAAAATTTGACAGCACATTCAGAACTCTTACTTGAGTGAAGCTCAGAATCCATGTACATATGGTGTGAATGGTAATATAATGGAGGCTCAAATTTCTCGGAGTACTTCCTGCATTAAAATAAAGCAGCATATATGCGTGTGAGAGGGAGCGATGGAGAGATGCATTATTAGAATTACAGAGGGTAGGAAAAGCATTCTCAAGTCATCGAGCAACCGATGGCATGAGACAACATGAAATATTTTCTAGAAACCATACAATTTTCATGAGCAATTATAGTATGGGCCATCCCACATGCACCAGGCAATTACTGGGAAACTCCCAGGGTTGGCCCCAAGGGCGTCCGAAACAAGCACAGTTTTAGCAATATTGTATCCATAAATACATTGAACAGCATATAAACATAATCCCAACATCATATATAGGTCATACTTTCAAAATAACATGTGATAAATTTATTTTTTCTGTCAAATAAAAATTAAAACTAACAAGTGATATATAGGTCTTAAAGAGCAAAAAAGACAGGCATAGTTAGTCTATTTTATTGGAGTACCCGTTGTTGCAGAACCTATGAACCCATAAGAAGTACTAACTAAAACGAGACATTGAAGTGGTTTTTTCTTTTTCTTTTTCTTTTTTTCTTTTTTTTTTCTTCATTTTTTTTTTTTTTTTTTTTTTTGTCAAAGGTGAAAAAGACGAGGAAAAAATTACCTGTCAATGAGCTTTGATTTTTCCCTGTAAGGTTTCACAAGAACACGAGTCCCACAAACATAATGTGGGTTTCCCTTTGACAAAATCATTTTCACAGTATCTGCACTAACAAAAGTAACAAATCCAAACATCCGTTTCTGTTGGCAAGGAATTCTTACATCATGAACTGGCCCAAAGGTACTACAAAAAAATAATAATAATAATTTAATAAATCTTGAATGCTGAATGATTAATTGAGCACAAAAAACCGGGAGTTCGAGATTGAAGTACTTGAAGTAATTGGTGACATCTTCCTCTGTAAAAGTGCTTTCCGCTGGAAAAGTTAGATATATCTGCCGTGACCCACTAACAATTGGACCAGGGTCATTTCTTTCACTCCGATCTTCCATATATTTCGGTGCATCTTCCATCAAAATTACTGAATGCTGCCCATGAGGCCTGTAACTTAACCACGAGGAAAAACATTTACACATTGTTTAATATGTATCATCAACTAAAAAAGCACATATAGAGAATGCCCTGAAAGATAAATAAAAAATACACCTGTCAATAAGCCGAATACTGTTCTTCAATCGAGCAAGAAGTCTTGTCAAACTATACCCAGCTTTACCATGTCTTTGGCTCTCAGTGAGGTATCCTTCAGCTTGAAGAGTCTTCCCATATTTCTCATAGTACATCATGGGCAGAGAGGCTATTGAAACAGGGTTACCTCCTCTCGATTTCAGCAGCTCAGTGATTTCTAATTCTAACTTTTCAAGTGACCCAGGTGAGATAAGTTGATCTTCAAACGGAGATAGACCAAACATATGAGAGAAGTCCTCCGGAAAGGATTGTCCATGGAAGTACCTACAGCTACTTCCATGCTTACAAAACCCCTTATTGAAATAGTGACAAGTCTTGACCGGGAACTCCGACAGGCTTAGAGATCGTGGGCCGCACCTCACACTTAAACTGCTGCCCAATGTAGCTTCTGAATATAGCCTGCTTCTCACACTCATATTGTCAAACACAGGATAGTAGTAATCATTTGGATAACCTGAAATTCCTGATTTAAGAGGTTCTAGTTGATCCTCCAACAACATGTTTTGGAGCCTATAATCTTCAAAGGTCGAATCCGAGTAGCACAATGGTATGAAATCCGAATTATGTGTAGGGTGCTTCGGGGATGAAAAAGAATGAGAGGAAGCCGGTGACAAAGGAGTATATGGAAGGGGAAAAGTCGAAATGGGGATTGGGTTCACAGAAGGTGAAATTGGAGGTGACCCTACAGTTTTTGAGCCTAAACAAAGTTGAAATTTGGTTTTATGTATCAAGTTGAGGATTAAATGGTCAGGTCCAAAAGCAAACCGAATCATTTCCTGTTCACCATGTTTTAAAAGAAGATACCCAATTATCTTATTTGTAACATTCTCTGGTTCTAATTTCCGGATCCTACTGTAGAGAACTCTTGAAGCCTCGAAAGAATCCATTTCATATCTAGTACTATATATTGAACACAACAGGATTAGACAAAACAAACATAATATTCAAATAAAATATGGTTCCTAAAGAACAAAAACATAGCAATGAAATAAGAGAAAATAGATGATTATAGAACAGTTCAACAAGAATAACATAAAATAAAATAAAATAAAAAATGACAGATCTTATAAAACTAACCCATAAAAATTCAGCCAAAAAAAAAAAAAAAAAAGGCAACACAACTCAAGACATTCAACTTCTACATTTAGGGTTCTGCTTTCTTGTCAGAAGTTCAAAGTGAGTGTGTGTATTCCCTGTAAATTTTATATTTCTTTACGTTTTCAAATTTTCCAAACTAGAGAAGGAAGTATTTTAACAAAAATGGAAGTCCAAATAAAGCTGTATAAGGGTGTGTCAGAGGACTTCTTTATGAATCTAAAAATAAAGAATCAACACATTTTCTGCACGAAAATCACATATTAAAATATCACGACTATTTCCTAATAGATCATTCATACAAAAACTAATCATAAAGAGATTACTCTTTATAAAGACAAATTTCTTCCACTATATAAGTTATGAAAATAAAATAATAATAATAATATATAAATATCAAAACGAGAAAAAATGAAGAGGAAGCACTACAACAAAAATAACACTTCTCAAACCCTACAAAATAAAGTCAGAACACAACCAGAAAACTAAATCTTAAGAAAACAAAAAAACAAAAAACAAAAACACTAATTTTTAAGAAAACCCATGAAGGAAAAAAGATTATATAGCAAAAAAAAAAAAAAAAAGAACTAAGAACAAATCATACATACCCACTAAATATTTCTGTCTCCAGTAGAGAAATGAAAGTCAGAACTCAAAACGACAAATATGGAGACACACACCACTCTCTCTCTCTCTCTGCATCACTCTTTTTCTCTCTCTGAACTCTCTCTCCGCGCCCTCATGCCTTCAATCCTCTGCAAAGGAAACATCTTAATCACAGCAAGTAATATTCCAGAAATGGTGTTTTAAAGAGTCGCAGTATCATCAGTTTTATATCAATATTATTAATTTATATAGAAATGGACTTCATTTCTTACTATAATTTTACTAATTAAAAAATCTATATTAGAAAATAAATTTGTTATACAATTAAATAAAAATTTTCCTAGATTTACGAATTTGTTGAGGACTGCTCGGACTATTATTACATATATGCCCCTCTTTAATTAAGATAACCCAGGCAATATATATATATATATATATATATATATATCAAATTACAATGACAATATAATATATATTTGGAAACCCCAATGTTTTGAAAACATAAATTTAGACTACACATGTCGGCCAAAAGCATCTCTTGGGTTCTGCCTCAGATCATCTGGACCGTTCATTGCCTTCAGAGAGAATAGAGACAATGGGATGGACGTTATTCGACTTTGAATATTTTAGATCAATGGTGTATAAACTTTTATTTTTGTTTAGAAAATTTGTTTTTCTTAGGTCTCATACCAAACTATCTAATTTATACTTTCACTTTTTTATTATTTTTTTAAAAAAATTAATGATCAATTGAATCAAAATTTTCTTCAACGCACTTATAATTTGTTGTGCGTTTAAACAGTTAACATTAGTACGAAACTAAACTTTTATATATTTAAATATATAAAATATAATTTTAGTGTTAGATTGATGTTCGTCATCTTCGTATTACATCAATTGTTAGTATGATGTGAATAATTATGTTATATTTTAAATTCATTTTTATATTAGGAGTGTAATTAAATTGAATGCGATGAAATGCATATGTTTTTAAAATATATTTTGGTCTCACACCCTTTGCGAAAAGTAGTATAGTTTTTTACATTTTATGCAATAAATTAATTTTTAGATGTTGTACACAAAGGTAAAAGATTTATTCAAGTTAAATAAAAAACTTCTAACAAAGTATAGTATAAATAATTAAAGATAAGAAACTTTACCATAAAGAATAATGTTTGGTGACATTTCTCTACCATGAAATATTTAAAAACAAAACAAAAATATCAAAAATAATTATTTTTGACAAAAAATGAATGTAACTAAATCTTTAATAATCTTTCAAATGAACTGTTAAGAAGTTTTTAATCTTCAGTATCTCATTTTATGTATTGACTTTTCAAATCGACTTAACCACAAGCCTGAATTATTTACTTCACCTTTGATTTTCACTCTTAAAAGTCAATCAAATTTTCTTTCCCACTTTAAAATAGGAAAATCAGTTGAATATATATTCGGAAATGAAATTTTTTAAAAAAGAAAAAAAAATGTAAAGTGAGTTATTAATAAATAAAAATAAAATTTTCTTTCCCACTTTTACATAGACAAAAATGTCATTTTCAGCTAGGAAAATCAGTTGAATATATATTAGGAGATAAAAAATTTTTAAAAAAAAAAGAAAAAAAAATGTAAAGTGAGATATTAATTAATAAAAATAATGGAATACAATTTTATAAAAATAAAAATACTTCTCCGATAAATAAATAAAAATTAAAAAGAATAAGAATTGTATAATAAAATATGGATAGAAACAAAAGTTGCGTAACAGGAAAATGAATGTATACAACATAACGCGTCTAGTGAGGATGGAGTGATCGATTCAACAGGCAGGATGATAGGAGCACACCCTCAACGGATGAGAGAGAAAGATCACATATACATATACATGTGTGTGTGACTGTGTGCATATAGAGAGAGAGATTAATGGGTTAGATTGTGATTAGAAAATCATGGGATTTGGGAGATACATATACATATATATGTATATATAACTGGAGAGATTGATGGGTTAGATTTGAATGAGAGAGAGAGAGAGAGAGAGAGATGGGGATTTGGGGGTGATGATTCGGATCTCCCTCAGAAGCGGACTTTCCTTTATCGTCTCCACCTCTATCGATGATGGTTTTGACCCATGGAAGGACCTGCTTGCTTCACACAGTCACTGTGCTCCACGCCCGACTCCGATTCGGAGCCCCAATTGAAGACCCATTCAATAGTAGTTGCAACTTGTAAGTTGTAAGTCATTGTTGGTTGAATTTTTTTTATTTTTTTTAGAGAAATAATATTTGCATTGTATTTTTGTACAATTTATATTTCACTTAGTTTTATATTTGTTTCTTTTATTATTATTTTTTTTTAATAGAAATTCTCCAATGAAATAGACCCATTACAAAGTAAAAGAGTCCAGGAGCAAAGTGAATATGTAAGTGATTTTTTTTTTTTTTTTCAAAATAAAATTTTCAATTGATATACTGGTAAATCTAAAATTTTCTCTCAATTTTTAATTTTTTTTTTAGAAATTAGAAATGTAAAATACATCTTAGAATGTTCGTTTTAGTTTGATTTTTCAGCAGGGAATTGCTATGGAACCATTTTTAATTGTACCACGTTTAAACTATTTTGATCAATTTTTTTTTAAAAATAAAAAAATTTATCAATTCCAATTGAACTCATTTTTTTGTTTTACTTTTGGTTCTGAAATATCTGATTTTTAAATTCATTTTTTGTTTAATTATTCAGTTTGTGTTAAAGAAAGAAAAGTAGGTAGTAATATTTAACTTTTTAAAATGATTTCTAATGATTTTTTTTTTTCATAATAAAGTTGATCTAGTAAGTATGCGCTTGCTATAGAGGTAGTACCTAAATAGTTGTAACATTCCAATTGCTCCAAACTTCTTATGGTAAGCTTATAATACAAGAAAAACATTATTAGCATTATTAGATGCACTATATATATTTCTTTAAAATCAATGGATAGTCATAATAAACTTATAATTTGAATTTTTTTTAATTTAATTTATTTATTTATTTATTTTCGCCTTTGCTTCTTTGGAGATTCGAATTCTTACCATTCACTTTAAAGATAAAAAGGTACAATGAATCACAAAACCCTCTATTAATTAGAACATGATTGAGGTGTGCATGATTGAGGGGTGTAATAATACAACTAAGATGCTAATGTGTCATTATCATTTATCACAATGTGTCTAAAGGTACCTAGGTGAGTGGGAAACCTTAGGTGGGCCACAGATAATTAAAAAAAAAAAAATGGCTTATCCAAATGAAATTAATCATTTAATTAATAACAAGTTTTGATCAGTAATGCTATAAAATAGCATGAAAAACTGAACATTGTGTCTTAAATAAGTGTACTTTTTCTTGATGAACAAGCACCTTCCTTATTGCTGCAATAATTGAAGTCCATGGTTCACAATTATGATATTGGTCGTGATTGTAATGTAACGGATTCAGACGAATATTGCTGTAAATTGATCGAATCGGCTGATTCATAAAAGTGTATAACAATATCGAACTCTTGAGAAAGGATTATACATTCAAAGTTTTTTTTTTTTTTTTTTGAAAAAACAATATCATAGAATTGATAAATAGGGTTTTTACAAGCTACTACAGTGAATAATGTGACAAGAAATTGTGTGAGGGGAGCAATAGGGGATTTTTTTTGTAATTGCAGGGGCAATATTAAAATTTCGTAGATATATAACTTAAAAAAGGAAAAACTGAAAGTCAAAACCCTTTTAACATATGAGTGTATAAAAGAGTACGAAATTTTTCAAACTGTATAACCTCTAATTTGCATGAATTTTTATTACTCTATTAATATGAGCGATTATTTGTTTTATTTATTTATTATTATTATTTTAATAAACTAAGGTTATATGGTGCACATAGTCAGTCTAGCTTTCCACCTAATCAACACGAGCTATTATTTTTTTCACCTAATCAATACTAGCTTTTCCAGGTAAACATATGGTGCTTATAGTCAAAATTTGCAAAATGGAGGAAGGTGTGTGACAGTGTGAGAGAGAGAAAAAATAAGCAAGACCCTATGCCATGTAGGACTCAAAATGTCACTTTCATTACAACTCTTAAATGATTGTGATGCTAACTATATCCATATGTCAATGCTCACTTACTTTGCCACTTGCCCAAATCTTTGGGCCCCAAATCAGTATAATAATTTGAAGGCAATCATGATGAATTTGTAGACCTTATCGATACTTGGGAAAATGCTTTATTATTATTATTATTTTATTTTTTATAATATCTTGGTAATAAATACACTTGCATCCAGTTTTTTTTTTTTTGTGGGGGGGGGGGGGATTTTTTTCATAATTTTTTAAAATTTTAAAGTACAAAATGCAAAAAATAAAAAAAATTAGTGGGGGCGAATTGTAATTTTAACAGGGACATTTTCAAAATTTTAAAAAAATTAAGATATAAAATAAAAATATAAAAAATTCAATAGAAGCATCCGCCCCCATTAGTGTTGAGTCCGTGCGTGCTTGCATGCATATTTTGCTCATATTGAACCCATCTCTTTTTAAGAATGGAGAGACAGATGCCCTTTGATAAAGGGTATACTCTTGGTCTATTGTGTTGATAAAACTTCTTGGATGTAATAAATCTAATTGTAATTTTTAATAAAATTTTTGTGTTAGTGCCAAAGAAGCAATGTTTATTAGAATTATATAAAATACTTTTCTTAAATATACTCACAATTTTGAGACTGTCCAACCACAATTTCTTTCTTCTCTTTATCTGTCTTGAAATCTTAACTTATGCTCCGTTTAGTAAGATGGAAGAAAATTAAATGAAAGGGCGAGAAGAGGGGATGAATGAAACTTCTTTAGATAAAAGATTGTGTATTTTTCTCTTTTTGTTTGGTTGGGTGGAAAAGAAGAAAATAAGATAATATCTTATTTTATTTGTTAAAAGAAAAAGGAAGAGAAAATGCTAATTATAAAAAAAAATTTATAATTTAAGAATATTTATAATAGCATTGTCTTTCTTCCTTTGTATCTTCCTTTCATATTTGAAGAAAAGAAAATTTGTGAAGAATGATTCATTGATCGTCTTGTCTTGTCTTGTCTTGTTCTGTCTTTTTTCTCTTCTCTCTTTGCCCTCTTCATGCCAAACGAAGGAAGTTTTCTTCCGGTCTTCCTCCACCCCCTCTTCACGCCGAACAAAACATTAGAGTTTAATAATTTAGATCTAAATCCACGACATTGGTTACCCAAGCCACTTAGTCAAAATAATAATACATAGATTTTGGGCTGCTCAGGTATCTTTGTCCACAGAAACTTGAATGAGGTCGGTCCACTTTCGTAGCCCAACCCAAGTAAAAGTAAATTAAAACCCGCCCATTATATAAGAAGTGTGTTTTTTTTTTATTTTTTTTATTTTTCTTTTCTCATGATTTAACCTTGCAAAGACCACCAAACGGGTCACAAAATATACAACGGCATGGGCTATCCGTAAACTCATTTAAAGTAGCTTTCTCTTCTTAAAAAATTAGATTATTTTATGTAAAAAGGGTTCTCAATAAAGAAGTTCTTTCTCACAGTGCATTTGAATAGGAGGGAATAGAAGAAAAGGAAAAGAGAGAAAATTAATTGATATCTTATCTCCCCGAATTTGGGAAGAACAACATCGGGAATTTGGGACTTGATAAGTGGAAAGGAAAGAAGAGGGGTGGAAGAAAATAGAAAAAAAGGAATAAATTTTTTTAGTTCGGTAGAAATGATATAAGAAAAAAAAAAGGATAATATGAATGATGAGTCATTCCCCTTCACAAATTTTCATCAGCCTAAAAGAGAAGACAAGCCTATTATAAAAGTTTTAAATTACTACATCATCATTCATAAATATTTAATAAATCTCATAAATAGAGTAAGGAATAAGTTTAATGGTAAAAATAACTTTTAAAAATTTATCTTTCATTTTATCCTACAAATCAAATTAAATTGTCAACTTAATCTCTTTCCAAATGATGCCTCAGTCATCCATTTTACTCTCCCATCCATTCGAATTTTTTCCTTTCTGAGCATAAGAGAGTTAGTGAATTGACTGAATTCTTATTTTGATCCTATTTTTAGCAATTGATTTGAATTTTGACTCATATTCTAAGACACCTCATTTCTTTTAATTTGTCTATAATGCAAAATAAGACAAAATTTTATTATTATTTTTTTGTCATTTTCAATTGTTAATAATCAATATGGTCGAGAAAATTTAAATATTGGTTTTTGTTTTAGTCCTTACAGTCTATCATTCTCTTTCATTTGTTTTTTCAATTATTCAAACGCATTTCTGCAAATTTATATTTGAAAACAATCAAAAAGCAAATACTAGCTTTTCTTTTTCTTTTTTTGAATTTTAATAACTACAATATAATTTTAGTGTTATTAATATTATTTTTTCAGGTAGTTTATTTCATACAAAATGGATTTTGAAAAAGGGACCCACCTGGGTGGGTCCCAACAAGTGATCAAGTCTACAGCAAGATAAGGGGTTTGTAACTCCTCACCGTCCTTCTTTTTCAGATGTATCAGGTTTGAATAATTGTTTCCAGACGATGATGGGTTTAAGGGCAAATATCTAGGAAAGAAGGCGAGTTTCTCTCTGTGTGTATATATATATATATAGATGCATACATATAATTTTATATACATATATGCCTAGCAAATTTTAATTTTATCGTCAAACATTTTTGATTCATTGTTGCGATATTACTTATTTTTGGGCTATAATTTCTCTTGCAACATATTTGCTTCATGGCTTCAGCTATTAGATGGAAATTCCAGTTGATATTAATTTTGTATTCCATCTGTAATGTTGTTAAATTAATTTAAGCTCAAAATTTTTAAATTTCTAACGATTTCAACCAAATTTGAGATACCCATTTGGGTAACAATGAATCATTGATAGATGAACTTTTAAATATTACTAGATGAAGATCAATCCTGTTAATTTTTTTGATTGATCTTAATGTCCTTCCTTATGTGCTCGAATCTGAAATTTTTGGTACTCTATGTTGAAAGTTGAAACCTGTTTTGCTCATTGTGGCTGTGTTGTTTGGTAAATTTATGTTGAAATTTATATATCTTCCTGGTATATTGACACTTGATAATTCAACAATATTGGAGGATAAAGTGGACTTGAAGTTCATATGTTAACTATATACAGGATTGTTCAATAGGATCCCTCAAATACAAGTGGCCTTCATGATGAGTGAGAACAGAACTATTGATGGTTGCTTTAAGCAATTTTATACTTTCTGCCTTCAAATAACCCGAGAACAATTTGATCAATTTGCTGTTATAAAGCCTTACATAATTGTTTAGAATTGTAATGATGTTATATATTTTAATGCTTGGCCCTAGTGTTTGAGGAAGCATCAAGTCTAAGGTTCGAATCCTCTTTCTTTTTTTTTTTTCTTTTTTTTTTTTGGGGGGGGGGGGGGGGGGGGTGGGGAAGAATATGTTAATGCATGTATGTGTTTATATTATTCGAAACCTCTTTTTTTTTGGGTGCTCGTTGCGGTCAGATCACCCTGCTTAGCCGGTGTGGTAGACGCTTGGTGTGGTAGCAGATCCTAGGACTGGGTCTGGCTTTGATACTAACAAACTCAAAATTCAAAGCATTGCACTTCTCCTTGAATACTAAAAGTTGGCTATCAGATATGCCTTATGAGAATAAGTAAAAGTTGATAAATTAGTAGAATCTATTAATTTTTATGATGTTTCATGTTTATCCATGTCAAGCATTTTTTGTTTGAAGCATATAGTGAAATTTTTAGTGTAAAATAGGATAACTTGTTTCAAGTCATTTCATTGGACGAATTAATCATCAATTGGATGCCTTATTGGTTTTAGGTTTAAGAAAACAGCAAAATGCAACTCAAGATTAAATGATTTTTTTTATAAAAATTATTTTGGCATAATATGGATGCTTTTGTAAGACTTTAATTTTCTAATTTTGTACTATATTGAAGTGGTGTTGCTATAGTAGTTGGAAATTGTGTTTGTTGTTTGCTTAAAATCCCAAGATTGAATGGAGGTGTTGATCATTATTTGGTTTCAGTTCTCATTATGGATCAGTCAGAGTTAGAGAGGAGCGGAGCAGAGAAAGGAACAGATTGGGAGGAAGCACTCCAAGTATATGAAAAAGTGATTGCCTGTGGGAGTGAGGCTTTGCAAATACGAGCCATAATCAAGCTTGCACGTCTTGCTAACCATGCACCTGAGGATATATTGGCATGTACCATACCCATCCTTGCAGAGCTTCTTGGTAGTCCTAGTAATTTGAGTGGTTCCATTCAGGAAGCAATTGTGTACTGCTTGAAATGCATTGCTTGTCAGGGACAGGGAAAATTGGCTGTAATCATTGGCCAATCTAGCGCTGTTCCTTCCCTCTTCAGGTTATTAGATCAATCTGATGGTAGTTTACAAAGAGTTATTTTAAAATGCCTTCGAAATATTGTTACATTTGGAGAGCTTAATCGCATAATTCTAGTTCGAAATGGTGGGCTAGAAATTGTCCTTAATATGTTGAATTCCTGCCCTGATGGTTCAAGGCGCTTATTGTTAGAAATTTTAAGTGCATTGGCTCTTTTGAGAGAGGCTAGGAAGGTCATTGTTCGTTTAGGAGGCCTTAGTTTTCTTGTTGAATCTGCTAAACGTGGCAGCATGATATCTAGAATTAGAGCCGCTCAGGCAATTGGGTTACTTGGACTGGTTAGAAAAGCGAGGCGGATGCTTGTTGAGTTAGGTGTTATACCGGTGCTTATTGAATTACTTCGGAATGGAGATAGCTCAACAAAGCTGGTAGCTGGTAATGCTCTTGGCATCATCTCATCTCATGTTGATTACATTAGGCCAGTTGCTGACGCCGGAGCCATTGCTTTATATGTGGAGCTTCTTCAAGGACCTGAACCCGTGGGTAAGGAGATTGCAGAGGACGTATTTTGTATTTTAGCTGTTGCTGAAGCAAATGCTATTACAATTACCGAGCACTTGGTGAGACTCCTTAGAGGAGGAGAAGATCACGCCAAGGCTGCAGCCGCCGATGTTCTCTGGGATCTCTCAGGCTACAAGCACTCTTTATCTGTTATTCGAAACTCTGGAGCAATTCCGATTCTGGTTGAGCTTTTGAGGGACGGGAATGATGATGTTAGGGAGAAGGTTTCTGGGGCTATTGCTCAGTTGAGTTACAATGCGGAGGATCGAGTAGCCCTTGCCGATGCGGGTGCAATTCCAACTCTCATTGATATGCTGCTGGTCGAGTCGGAGGAGCTGAAGGATAACGTTGCAGAAGCCCTTGTGAATTTTTCGGAGGACCCCTTACTGTGTGATAGAATAACCGGTGTTTTCAGCATTCCTTCGTTCCAGGATATGCAGGATAGATTGATCCAGATTCGTGCTTCTGATGCTCGTTTGACTGTGTCTTTGAGACAGATAAGCATTGAGCATCTCACTTGGGACCCTGGTCTTGATTGAATTGTATTGCCATGGTTTTTTGTTCTCCCCTGTAAAATCTGTCATTTTTAGAATATTTGGTTAGCAGTTGTATAATAATATGTAATCTAAGAAATGATTGAATGGAAATATTTCGTATTTTTCTCATCAATTATTGCTCTTCTGTGATGGGTTGGAGAAAATTTTCAATGACGCTATTGAAATTGGTTTAGCAGCCAATGCACTTCACAAAAAAATCTTCTATCCGTTTCCCTTGTACTCGTAATTGGTTTGGCGGTTTCTATGAACTTCTATTTGGTAGAATTACGGAAACATGGAATTTTGGATGCTTTTCTAGTCATGGATTTTGTTAAAAGTCTAAGATGACATGGAAAAACACAATTCATTTGTCCAAACCACTCTTACTATTTTCAGCTATTATTTTTGTATATTAAGTATCACTTTTATACACGTAGATATCATTTTTGTGCAAATCAAGTCATCAAAATTGTATACACAAAAAAAAGATACCTACATTCACAAAGAATGATGCTGTTGTGTACAAGAGTAGTATTTACATACACGACTCATATATATATAGTTTCAACTAAAATTCCGTTATCTACAGTTAGTCAAGCTAATTTCATAACCAATTCTAGCAATAGGGGCTTGTTACATTTGCAATGACCTTTACATTTCTGCATCTATAGATATAGATCAAAACACATATACATATATAGATGCTAATACAATGTATAAGCTTTTCAGATTCCAATGGGCCTGGCTCAGAGTATTGCCCATAAAAGGAAGTATGGACCATAATTCAGAGAGAGAATAAGAGTCCAAATGGGCTGGGCTCTGTGGGAATATTACTTCTAACGATTGGGAAGATATGGTGTTTCATGTTTCTTATATGGTATTGGTCACCGGTCTGAAAAATTTGTTACATGGTATAATTGTTCGGGCTAATCACAAAGCGACAAATAAAAAAATAAATAAATAATAATTAAAAATAACATAAAAAGTTAACGCATTTGTTTATGTGTTATTTTGTAATCCAGGATTAATAATTTCGGACCATATAATAATTTATAATTCTTGTACTGCTCTCTCTCTCTCTCTCTCTCACGCACACACACACGTGCAAATATGAAAAAGTCAAAAAGAATTAATCATGATTAAGATCATGCTCATAGCTAAGCATCCGTGTTTTCTTATAAAAATATAAAGGACAATATGAAATCCAAATCATACGTAAAAACAGTATACTTGCTATTTGCTAACATAACCGCTCTAAACTGCAAAACCCAATTCAAAAATTTCAAATATACGTTAATTGTCTAAGATCATGAATATACTTACTTCCTAAGAGTTTTTCTTTAATATGGGATTGAAGTAGCGATGCTTAGATCAAAAAGGTACATTAAATTGTCTAACTGAATGATTTTGAATGGTTATTTATACAAAATAGATGACCAATTAAAAGTCGCAGGTCTGACAATTCAACTATTCGGTATAAAAATAATTTTTTATAAAATTTTATTGACAAAACATTGAAACCGTGTACCCGAAATTTTTTTTTTCATTAATTTTATATCCAAAGTTACTCATTTTAACTATGAGCATATTTATGTTTGATAGCACGAAATTGACGCGTATCCCAGACCTACCATGTTGTCCCCACAATTTCACTTCAAGCTGCTTATCTACAACCAATCTTGATGTATCTATATAACCAATCACCCACATACTTTTGATAGTGAAAATATTTTTATAATTTAATATAATTGGTGTCTTCATTCTAGACCTTTTTAAAAAAGCCAAGAAAGTAGTGATGCTTTCAAAGTAAACTGAATGGAAATTGAGAGCAGAAACAGCATTTACTTTGAAGTCCAACTAGTTCTCGTTGTATATTTTCCGAGAAAATGTGGTTTCTATCCTATGATGCTTGATGATGACTAATTGAGTAGTTTTGATGCTGACTAAAACCAATTTGCTTCCATGAAAATGCATGGAAGGAGCTTGAATTTGTCATTTGAATTCCAAATTAGAATGGAACAACTTTATCTTTCAAAATATCACCCCTTTGAAAATTTGAAGGATCGTACCAAAGGAAAAAAAATAAAATAATACTTTCACACTTCATAGCGTCAATCAATTTCACATGGACCAGAATTCAATTTGAGTTTTTCTACTGTCACATTACAATTTTCAAATGCATGCTTGTGTAAGTATTGTGGCAATATAGTCTGTGGGTGTGGTAATCAATTCATATTCGATTTGTTTAGTTAATGAATTATCGAATTTGAATCGCTGACGAGTTATCGAATTGAATGTTTCAATCCATATCTTAATTGGCTCAAATTCGGATTGGATTGGATTCAGAATGAGTTTAAAATCTTGTCCTCTGATATGTCTAATTATAAGTTTAGACGGAGGGAAGAATCGTTAATATATAGAATAACATAATAATAGATAATTAATATATATAAATTTAATAGTATGTAACTCATATATGTAACATTCAGGCACAGACCCAATGTGGGACCAATGAGGCAGTCCCTACTGAATTTTTTATATTTTTATTTTATATCTTAATTTTTTTAAAATTTATGAAGATGCCCCACTAAAATTACAATTTGTCCCCAGTGAATTCTTTTTTATTTTATTTAATTTAATTTTACATTTTATACTTTAATTTTTTCAAAAATTATGAAAATTCCCCCACTAAAATTACAATTCAGCCCCATTGATTTTATTTTATTTTATTTTATTTTATTTTTTTGCATTTTATACTTTACATTTTTTAAATTTACAAAAAAAACCCAATTGAAATTATAAAAATGGAACCACTATATAAAGTTTGCTCCACAAATTAAAAGTTCGTCCCCTCTCACAAAATTTCCCAAGTCCGTCACAAAATTTCACACACACACACACATATATATAATTTTAATCGAATCGAATCACTGTTTGATTGTGTTAACTATAATGCATATCCGATTTGTTAAGGTAACGAATTATCGTATTCAGATTATTATGGAATTATCAGTTTTTTTTATTCGATTCATATTTAGATAATCAGACCGGATTTAGATCAAAATCTGATCTGTTAATATGTCTAGGTGACGACCTTGTCGGTGTATAAAAAGGGAAAATAATATATATGTGGTTGTGCTATCTTTAAGTGGTACGATTAATGTGTTTGGACTTTGGGGCTAAGACTAAGAACAAAATGGGACAATATCATATAGTGCTTTCTTTTTAATGAGACTAGAAATAATTTGTGCAACTTCTGTGACATTTCATGACTAATCCAATAGGTCATTTCACTTCAAAAAAACACATCTGTCCAAACAGGGACAACCTCTCGCATGTTCTTTTCAAACACAAACTTTAGGTTTTGGCTGTTTAGGGCATGTTTGGTGTCTGTTCCCAAGTGTGCTGTAGTGTTCCCGGGCCGCTACAGTAGCCCATTTTGAGTCCACAATATGTTTGGCCCGTATTGTTTTATTCTCAACAGTACCAGAATACTTTCAAAACAAATCCACTATTTGGCTCAAAAGCTGGAACAAGATTATTTGTTTTTTTTTTTTTTTTTTTTTTTTTTTTCTCGTTTTTTTCACTTTACCTATATATATACATATATACACAAATATTGCTGTTTAGCATTCTAATGCTGACGTAATAGGCAGAATGCGTGTTGACGTCAGTATGATAGTTAAATTTCGGCGGGTATTATAGTACTAGTAATAATACTATAAAAAATAAAACTTTTGGAAGATTCCGCTATTTGCATTTAGTACACATACTCTACATTATTTATATAGAAAATTAGAAACCAGTGCACACACGTCACATGTTTCTTTATACTCTTACTTTTTGTAAATTACATTTCTATCACCACTAATCAAAGTGTCCCATCTATTTTTAGTCCTCATACCTTTGTATATCTATACATTCCACCACTTTTAAAGCTGTATTCATCTAATCAAAATTCCACTATTTTACATTTCACCACCAGTATCTTTTTGTTTTTTCCTTCAAAATTTTAAGTAAATACAGCCCATTATATATATATATTGTCTCAATTGAGGCTCGAACACTCATAGTCAATAAATATTCCAAATTACAAATCATGGAATAGAACTTGAGTAAAACATGATCTAGATATATTTCATATATTTTTTATATATTAACCAAAACTAGAACAAATCTTTTAGATCGAACATTCAAATCAAACTCGACCTTAATTCTGATAAAACAAAAATAAAATTCAAAACCTTAATCTTGATATAAATAAATAAACAAACTCGAGACCTTAAACTTACCACATGAGACGAATTAATCTAACTATTTAGTAGGTATTAATGTATAATCGGTTGTGCTACTCTACTTCGATTGAATTTGGTCGAGAAAGAATTTTACTTATCCTATAAGTTTCTCCTTTGAGATTTGTGGAGCTTATTTAATTTCATTAGAGTATTAAACTGTTCTTTTGTGTAAAATATAGACTGTCACGTATGATGTGTAATTTTTTATTTTTATTTTTTTATATACAGCAGTCTGTTAAGATACTCTGACACGTCACCAATGTATAAAATTATTGTGTATTTTATCACGTTTATATTATTTTGATATTAATAATATATTTACATCACCAATGTGTAAAATTAGTGTGTATTTTATCACATTTACATTATTTTGATATTAATAATGTATTTTGGCCGTGTTCGTGTATGACATCGTAAATTGATGAAATTGAAGAAAACTTTTATTTAATTTTTTGAATTATTTTCTTCTAATTTCACTATTTCTAATTTTAAACCTTCAATTCTGTCTAATTGAATACAACATAAATATAGTTCAAAATTCTAGAAAAAGTAGTAATACTTTCAAAAGTAAATTGAATGGAAATTGAGAGGTGAGCAACCATTCTTTGGAAGTCCAACTAGTTCTCATTTAAGTAAAAGGAAAGTGGTGGTATATTTTCCGGGAGAAAAAGTGTTATCTATCCTGTGATGTTGCTGAAAACAATTGCTTTGGAAAATGCATTGAAGAAGAAGCTTGAATTTGTCATTTGTGCTGCGCAATTACTTTTCAATTCCAAATTAGTATGTAAACTTTTTACCATTCAACATACCGTCCCTTTGAATATTTGAACTAGGACAAGAAAGTCTCAATTTCACATGGACCATAATTCAATTTTATTATTTTTTCTACGGTCACATTGCGATATTCAAACTTCTAGAGTTGAATATTCAAACTAATTAAGTGTCCAAATATATAATTGTGCGTACGTGTGTGTAACTAAACTAATTTTATATCTTACATCATCATGACCATAAAAGTTCATACTTAATTTTGATAAATCACTTGTTGATGACGAAATGTTATAAAGGGATATTTATTTTACATCGAAATTGAATGAAAGAGTGATTAAATATAAATGAATAAATATATATCACTACCTAATAATTTAAATTTTAAATAAATAAATAAGTCATATGATAATTAAATTTAATTCTCAAACGGGTACCACACCATGCTTCCACCTCATGGTGAAAAATGGATAAGAAGGCTTCCGTATTGTGAACATTCCATGAACATCAAATAGGGACCACCTGGTTCATGTTATTTGTTTAGTCAAAATCAAAACCAATTATGGTTGGTTGCTTAGTCAAAATCAAAAACAATTATGGTTGGGCTTTTTTGGAGTAATTTGTAGGAAATGTGAAAAAGGTACAAATTTTTTGGTCGATTCTAATTGGAATTGTGTGTTCGTTAAATCATTAATAATATAGTATATATATTTTTTTCCTTAACAACAACAACACAAAAGGAAAGAGAGACAAAACTTTTCACACACAATCAGTAGCATCAGCTTTGAGAAGCCGAGAGATCGATGAAGGCATCGATTGTAGCACAGCCTTCGTATCATTATGGATAGACAAGTTACAGCATGGGCTACCTGATTACCATCCTTACGAACATGCATAATTAAAAAATTAAAAAAAAAATTTAAAACTATACATCAGACGTCATTATGACTCATTAATAATAATAATAAAAAAAAAAGAACACTCAATGAACACTCACAGTTTCCTCCTAGAGAAATTTGAAAATTTGGGTTCGTATTAAAAAAAATTTGACTCCGGTAATTTCAATTGAATCCAATTTCGCTGATATTTTCAACGTGTAGAAAATATAGGAACAATTTTATTTGACTATATCATTGTACGGAAAATTTCTATTAGTTTAATTCCATTTATAAGATACATTAAATAAAAAATTTGGTAACATAAAATAAATTTTTTAAATTTTGAAAGAAATAAAAAATCTATTTCAAATATTCTGAAACTCTATAATCAACATTTTAAAATATTATATTCAAAATTCTTGTAGATTCATTGCAAGAAATTCTATGATCAACCCAAGTTGTGTAATCAATTACTGAATTCAACATAAGTAATGAAAAGGATAAAATTATATACATGAACAGTCAAATAGAACAAGCATTTAAGATTTAGGTAACAAATTTTTTAATATGTACTTTAAAATAATTGTGGTCATAAAATAACCAAATTCTTTATTGTATTATATACATATTAAATATATATTAATATAGTCAAAGCAAAGGCAGTTATCAAAATTTTCTGAGAAGCATGAATCAAAATCCTCTCTAGCACAATTTTTACTGTTTACTTTGAAAATTCACCATTTCAAATGATTAATTTCAATATTACAAGTTTTGTCATTTTAAATTTAATCACTTTTATTAATGAGATTTTAGTGAGGTTCAATATACTGTGAGAGATGTTTGCCCCAAAAAAACAGATTCGCGCTAAAATCCATAAGAAGCGAATGCAGTGATGATGTCAGAAGCATGCTTTAAAGAGTGGGACCTATTTAAATTTCGTCATACTTTTACTTTTTGTAAATTACACTTTTACCACCACTAACTAAAGTTCCCTATCCATATTTTTAGTCCTCAATCCTCATTCATGTTGTACACAACACGGAGTATTTTATATTTTCCAATATTAGTAACTCTTTCTTTCTTTTGAATTTTACAACCTTAAAATTTATTTTTTTATTTTATTATTATTATTTTTTATTTTTAACTTTTTCGGTGTTTATCAAATGTGTAGATGGAAGTTGTGGTTAAATTCATAAATATTTTACAATAACCAAACACTAAAAAATAAAAAAAATATTTTATATCCAAACAAATAGAGCCGAGTATGTAAAGTTTAAATAATCCAATATTAAAATGACAAGTAATTGAATTTTTGTGCTTAAACACATAGACAAGCAATAAATAAGTGAGTATTAAGATGGTGAGAATAATGATTTTTCATTTGAAAGTGCAACAAAGTCCACTCCTTTTGCAGTTGCCTATTCTCTTAAATAGATGCAATCACCCAATGTCACGCGTTCAGTTCAAACAAAATTATTAGCAAAATCTTAAAGTTCTTACTTTATATATATATATATATATATTTTAATGCATGTCTCCACTCACAAATGAGTGCTACTTTAGATTTGGATGACATTTTTTTTTCTAACCCAAGCTTACACTAACCAAGATTTGGCCCCACAAGCTACATCATGGTGCATGTTGATTCTGAAAATCCAGACTCTCCACTTCCAAAATATTAGGGAGCATTAAGAAATTATTAATTCTTATATTATCAAGAGAAATATGAATTTTTTGCTCATTAACAAATGAAAATACCAACCGTGCCGACTTCACCATCATTGTTCGACCATTAAGAAATATCAACATTTAGAACGGGGGCACAGGAAAGGGAAAAGGCCAGTACTTTTGGTCCACACCTTTTTCTCACGCCTCTCTCTAATCCCAGCCGCCCCTCGTTCTCTCCCTATGTTTTGCTCCTCGCCCTACTCCTCACCCCTCCATGGAGTGAAGAGGTGCCGATTCTTACCTCCCATTATATAATAAACTCAACGTGTTGTACATAGGCACTCGGTGAGTAATTTTTTTACGCCATTTTGTTGTTATTTTATTAGATCTGCTTTTATTAGGCTTGTTTATGATTTTATGGGGTAGATTTGCTTTTTGTTTTCTGACTATATTTCTGATTTATGTCGGGTTTTTTTTGTCTCCACCTCTGTATGGGTTTTGTGGTCCCCGCCTATGTGTGAGTTTTGTTGTACCTGCCTCTTGTGCGGGGTTTGGGGGGTTTTTTTCCTTTTGGCGGAGCCTTGTGAATGTAGTCTTGGAGCAGTTGCCTTGACGATGGCCTAACCTGTGAGTCACTCCCGTTACTACTTTCCTCCCTTGGTGGTTTTCGCTGGTGCGTTATTTTTGCCCATTCTTCAGTTTTATTCTCTTGTTTCGTGATTTGTTTGTCTTTGTACGATTATTTATAACGCTCTTTGTAAATACTGTGTGGATGTTTTTTATTGCCATAATAAAAAAATAAAAAATAATAAGAATAAGAATGGGGTGATCAGTAAATATATATATATATATTTATTTATTTATTTATATTCACCACGAGAAGCAATCGCCAGGAAACTTCCTCGTGTCTCACATACACTTTCTCAAAGATTCTGTCCCACTGCATATGATGGACCCCAATGCTTCCCACTAAATGATAGAGCATGCATCTCTATTTGTGTGTGTACATATATATATATATATATATAAAAGAGCATGCATCTCTATTTGTGTGTGTACATATATATATATATATATATATATAAAAAAGAGCATGCATCTCTATTTGTGTGTGTACATATATATATATGTACACACACAAATAGAGAAAGAGAGCTAGAGAGAGGATATGCATGCTATTCTTATATATAGATACGAAAACACCCACATAGAAAGGGACGTAGAGAGAGAGGGTTCGGATCAAATGAAGACCACTTTTAAGTTTTGTCGACCTCTCTCTCTCTCTTTGTTTTACACACCAAAATTTTGTGATCACTAACACCTCTTCTTCAAACTAAGCCAAATCCTCTCTGATACTAGATGAAATTTTTGTTCTACTGAGACCACTTTTGTCCCATCTCTCTCTCTCTCTCTCTGTGCACCACAGTACGCAATTTTTTGTGACTAAAACCTCTTCTTCAAACTAAGCCAAATCCTCTCTGCTGCTAGATGAAACTTCTGTTCTATAGAGACCACTTTTGTCCCATCTCTCTCTCTCTCTCTCTCTCTCTCTCTCTCTCTGCACCACTTTATGCAAATTTTTGTGACTAACACCACTTCTTCAAACAAACCAAACCCTAGCTCTTTAGTGGCCGGTAGATGAAGCTTTTAATCTATTAAGACCTCTTTTTGTCCTATCTCTCTCTCTCTCTCTCTGCACCATTCTCTCCAAAATTTTGTTACTAACACCATTTCTTCAAACAAAACCGAACCCTCGCTGCCCATTTTTTTCATCCCCACTGCATTACTCTATGCATCTAGATATGTTGTCCAATTCATAGATATTCTCACATGGCATATCACCAATCTTGCAACACAATCCTCGAAAAAGACAACTTCAACGATTCTACAACTCCTCAATCCCGAGTTGTGCAAGAAATCGAAGATTGTCCCATTGATGAGAATCACAAGGAGGATGGACTAGAACTAGAAGTCATCAACTTTGGACTCAGCCAAGAAAAGCTTGCTGAACTAGTTGAACTTAATGACATAAATTATATCCATCAACATTATGGTGGAATCAATGGGATTGCTGCAGCATTAGATACCAATATTCATACCGGTATTCGTGGCGATGGCAAAGATCTTCGTTGCAGACATGAAGCCTTCGGTTCAAACCTAAATTTTGAGGACAAATCTTCTTCCAATGCCAGGAAAGGGACGTTGTACTGGCTCATGTGTGATGCTTTCAAAGATAGCACTGTGATCCTTCTCTTGTGTTGCGCCACGCTTTCTCTGGTGATCGGAATCAAGAGGAATGGACTAGAAGAAGGGATTGTTGATGGTGCGATCATGATTTTAGCCATAGACATAGTTGTCATTTTTAGTGTCATTTCTATATTTCGGAAGGCCAGAAGGAATAAGATGATCAAGCAGCAGTTGTCAAGGGAGAAAACAGCTATCTCCAAGGTCATTCGAGGCGGGAAGGTCCAACTTTTTGCAGTTCATGAAGTTGTGGTTGGCGATATAGTTTGCTTGAAGACCGGTGACACGGTCCCTGCTGATGGTTTGTTCATTGATGGTGGTGACTCATTCAAGCTCGGTAACGGATTAGTCCATGAGGGTAATATTGGTTACTTGTCTAAGTACCCTTCTATGTTTACCGGTGAAAAAGTGGTGGGTGGTGAGTGTCAAATGCTTGTGATGACAGTGGGAAGGAACACAGAAAAGAGTAAGTTGATGAGATCAATAAGCTCTGATGAAAGCGATCGAGAGTCAAGGCTGCTAATTGCTATGGACAAAACAAATTTTCGTTTGGAAAAGATTTGGTTGAGCCTCTCTTTGTTTGTTCTTGTAGTGCAAGTACTCAGATGTTTCGTATTGAATTCTGGTCAGTGCGACCAGAATCATGATCCGGACCCAAAGGGTGTAAAGAACACTGTGGAGGAAATAATGAATGAGGCCACAAAGCTTATTAGGAAGCAACAAGGCACAAGGGCTAATGGGTTGGTTCCTATGCTTTGTATATTGATCTTTGCGCTAAGAGATGGTTTGACTTTAGGGTTTTTTATCTTGTTAGCTTGTGGGAAGAAGAAAATGATGTCGTCCGGTAAGGTCATAGTCCAGAAACTCCCAGCATGCTCTACGATTGGTTTCGTGACTGCAATCTGCACCGGTGAAACGGATGATCTATCCCTGCAGCATAGGAAGATGGCCGAGCTGTGGATTGGGTTCGACAATGTCAAGGAAGTGTCCACAGGAGTACTAGCTCATGAAGTCCTTGATAGGCTGCGTGAAGGAGTTTATTGCATGTGTAGTCCATCAGAGGATGCTCTTCTTTGCTGGTCTCAACAAGTTCTTGGGAATATTGATATTGAGGAATTGAGTCGAAATTGCAGTGTTCTTGATAGTGAAGCTTTTGGTCTCAATAGGAATGAAAGTGTGTTGATGTTAAGGAGAAAAGAAGAGAGTGACAAAGTCGTGCATGTCCATTTGAAAGGAGCTGCAAAGATGGTACTATCCAAGTGCTCACATTATTATAAAGTAGATGGAACCATCAAAACCCTAGATGAAAGGGAAAGAGCTTTATTCAACGAAATAATTGAAACTATTGAATCTGATTGTCTCCAATGCTTCGCTTTTGCTCACAAGAAAGTACTTGTTGTGCAAGAGGAAGGAGAACAAACTCGGAAGCTCGGAAAAGATGAAGAAGAAACCCTCAAATCTATAGAAGATGGCTTAATTTTGTTAGGTCTACTTGGGTTGAAGAACCCATATGGACAAGAGGTGAGACAAGCTATTGAAGCTTGTAAGAAATCCGGGGTTAAGATCAAATTAGTGGTTGATAAGGACATAAAAACAGCAGCATTTATGGCAGTCCAATCGGGAATTCTTAGGTCTGCTGAAGAGATGGAAGGAGTAGTTGAAGCCTCAGAATTCCGAAATAGCTCTGAGGAAGATCGGATGAGTATGATTGATCGCATATCTGTGATGGCGAAAGCATCTCCGGCTGATAAACTACTAATGGTGCAGTGCCTGAGGCAGAAAGGTGTAGTAGTGGCAGTCACTGGAACAAGTACTAGGGACTCCCTGCTGTTACAAGAAGCTGATTTAGGGCTTCTAATTGGCCATAATGGTGCAGAATCGGCACAGGAGAGTTCAGACATCGTCGTGTTGGACCGGACTTTTGTGACATTTTATGCCATATTGAAGATGGGAAGGTGTGTTTGCAACAATCTTAAGAAATTCATTCAGTTGCAACTGTCACTCAATATTGTTGCATTCATGACAAACTTCATCGTAGTACTTTTTGCAAGTGAAGTGCCACTCACACCATTCAAAATCTTGTGGCTTAACCTAATCATGGACATACTTGGTGCCTCAGCTTTGGCGGCACCACCACCTTCTAGGGTTCAACTGGAGAGCTGCCCACCCGCTTTCCCTATAAGTGGTCCATTTATAACTAAAACCATGTGGACAAGCATAGCTGTCAAGTCCCTCTATCAGGTCACTGTTCTATTAGTCCTACACTTTAAGGGACAGGCTATTTTCCACGTGGATGAGAGGGTTTTAAAGGCCATGATCTTCAACTGCTATGTGTTATGTCAGGTTTTCGCATTGATGAATGCGAGAGAGATGGAGAAAATGAATGTTTTTGAGGGGATATTGATGCGAAAGAGCCTGCGGTTTCATGTGATGGTGGTGGCGATTGTTACTATGCAGGTGGTGGTGATTAATATCGCGACGGCGGTAACTCATAGTGACGGAAGGTTAGGCCTGAAAGAATGGGGTGTTTGTATTGGAATTGCAGCAACTGTTTTGCCCGTAGGCTGGGGTGCAAAATGGGTTACAAAAAATAACACACAGGTGAACTGATTTGTACATATGTATATATATACACATAAATATATATATAGATTTCCCTCTTACCTTCAAATTAAGCTGTAATGTTCATATATACTTTATTATAATTTCCTATTGTGGATTTATATGTATAGATTTTCGTCTTTTCCTTCAAATTAAGCTGTAATGCTCGTACATTCTTAATGATAATTTCCTATTTGTTTTTCAGCTACATATGTTGAAATTGTGTGAAGATTTTATGTAAGAACAATTTGTATTGGAGTCTTGGAAGTAATTAATAAGTATTAAGATCGATGTTCCCCACCATTTAAAATAGGAAAATGACTCTTAAATCAATTTATGAGATGGTGGAAGAATCTTTCATCCCGTGATGTGGAGGATATTATCTACACCCTCCTCTATACACACAAGTCCAATAACACTATTCATCATGTCCTCTCAATAACTCAATACATATGTAAACACACACACATACATGGAAGAAACTAGCCAAATTTGTTGCACTAAGTGTAAACTCATAGATGTGTGTGTGTGTGTGTGTGTACTAGTAAGAAAGGAAAATTTTATATATCAAAAACCAATTTACAAGAATAAGAGGGGCATGCCTCGTACAAGAAGAAAGCTATGGACTGTAAATCACAAGCAATACAAAACCATAAAAGAATAAAGAACTACGTAAGTTGTAACTGGTGCATATAAAGAACTACGTACGCTGTGTACGTAGGTCATTTTTTACTAAAAATTGATTTTGATATCATCCGTCACATTCACCGGTCTCATGGTATGCAACTTTTTCTTTCAAGTAATGTGAAATGTAAGATATGAAAGTTAGCTAATTTAAAATAGTACGTGCAAGGAAGAATTGAATACACACACACACACACACACACACACACACACACACATATATATATATATATATATGAGGATACAGCAAGTGACATAGGCCGGATATAGTTCGCTGGAACAGGATCGGGTCGAACAATTGAAGTAGGGCCCATGCCAAAGCACCGCGGAATGGGCCGAACCTGGAGGATCCACCGAGGAAGATCAAGCCCCTTGGGAGATCAGGCCCAGAAGGAAGAAAACTTTTGAATATAGGCCCAATGTAATCAGTTAACAATAATAATTGTAATGGTCTATAGATAGACCATTACAGGTGGATAAGGGGAGGGGGGGGAAGAATTTTTTTTGGAAGAATTTTAGAGAGAGAGAGAGAAATAAGAAGCGAATTCTTGCATCTTCAATTGGCGCCGTCTGTGGGAATCGAGGAAGAAAATCAATTCGAGCCCTATCAGTACCATATTAGTTCAATCGAGTTTGTGAGTACACAGTGTGATTTCTGGAAGTTGAATCCAGATCAGTGAGATTGTAGTTTGTTCAGAGAGAATTCTTGCTTATTGTGGATTCTGAGGCATTTGCTTCGGAATGACGCAATTGTGATTTGCTCAATTGCAATCAGATTCGGTGAGTTCAAAGCTAGAAAAGTTCAGATCTAGCAAACAGTGATCACGATTCGGTGAAGTTAAGCCTAGATCTAACGGAGTTTGCATCGGTGACACTTAGATTTGTTTCGGAGTTCGTAATTCATGCCTTTGCTTCGATCCGGAATCATGATAGGGGGTGACAACTCCAATACGGTTGAGAACGTCCAGCAAGTGAAACTTGATGAGTTGATGAACATGATCGAAGCTCTCAGGAGAGAAAATGCGGATCTAAGGACTGAAATGCAGCGTCGAGAAGCTCCAGTAATTCCACGACCACTCCCGGTAGGAGAAGAAGGTGCACGTACCGATGCAGCACATCACGGTGAGGAGGTTGGAAACAATCTAGTAGATTCTCACCGCGAGGAAATCCGCCGAGACGGTTTGCCGCCAAATCTTCGTCGTATTGATGATCGTGAAGGATCAACTCACATGGATCCACGGCGTGAGCAGATCAGGCGAAATGAAGCAATGACTTTTGATCCACATCAAGAAACGCTCAGCCGAGGTGAAGCAACAGAGTTGAATCGTCACAAAGCTATGCCTCCATGGCGCAAAGACTTTGTTGAGGACAGGTCATTCGATCCGACCTATCGGCCTTCCATGACGACGTTCGACTATCACAGCTCAGAGAGGAGATCGGTAGACCAGAGAGCAACCGCGGGGTTCCAGAGGGAAAATGAAGCACTCCGTTCAGCAGCTCAAACGGTTGATTCACCGTTCACAGATGAGATTCTGAATGCTCCAAGTCCGAGGAAATTTTCCATGCCCGTTTTCATTCTGTTCGACGGAACGACCGATCCGATCGATCACGTGTATCACATCCAGTTGAAAATGGCTCTAAACACTGAGAATGACTCTTTGATGTGCAAGTGCTTTCCTACGAGTCTGGCCGGACCAGCTCTGAATTGGTTTAAGAACCTGCCGAGGGGTTCAGTGGATAGTTTTCGAAGCTTGTGTGATCGGTTCATAAGCCAATACTATGGAAACAAGCGTCCAACGAAAGATATTTCGAGCCTATTCACAATGAATCAACATGCTGATGAGCGTCTCCAGGCTTTCCTAACCAGGTTTAACCTTACCAAGAGCATGGTTATTGAATGTCACCCTTCAACGGCAGTTCAAGCATTCATACTGGCCATGAACCGTGGCACCCCATTCCACACAAGCTTGGTGGTGAACACGCCGAAGACTATGGATGAACTTAACGAAAGAGCCGATGGATTTGTGCGCTTAGAAGAAGAAGAGGCGGCAAACGCTCGGAAAACATCCGTCATATCCACGGAAGAAAAGACCAAAGCAAAGATCAGGCAAAAACAGGTTCAGCCGCAAAGCTCCTCGTGGAAATCTGAGAAAAGGCCCAGAGAGGAAGAGTTAGTTACTCCATTGAAAGTTACCCTAGCAAGACTGTACCAAAAAAATAAAGATAAGTTCCGACCTCCTTTACCAATCAGACAACCTCTCGAACAGAGGGATCAGTCTAAGCATTGTACATTTCATTCTGATTTTGGCCACCAGACTAACGAATGCAGGAACCTAAGGAGACAGGTAGAGATGCTGATAGCCAGAGGGGAGTTCGCAAGTTATATTCAAGGACCAGCGGTGGAACAGAACTGACCAATGGAGCACGTGAAGAAGAATCAGAAGTCGAATTCTCACAACATGCAACCAGTTCGAGTAATCAATGCAATTCACGGTTGGCCAGAACCTGCCGAGGAGTCAGATGAACTACTTCGAACACGTCTTCGCCAGGCACGGATGAAGAGAAGGATAGGCAGTGTAAACACTCTACACCAACAGAGCGCATCAACGTAGATAAAGTTTGACGTAACAGACTTGTTGCGTGTTCAGATCCCTCATGAGGACCCGCTGGTCGTAAGTTTGACAGTGGCCAAATGCTTGGTGCGCAGAGTTCTAATTGACCCTAGAAGTAGTGCGAACATCATACCAAGAGATACATTCGATCGGCTCGAGATCAAACAGGATCGGCTGAAATCCACCGGGAATCCACTACTAGGGTTTGATGGAAAGCGAGTGGAGCCCGTCGGTACGGTGGAGGTAGCGGTGCATGCTGTCGAGAGGGTTTTGATGGAAACCTTTGTGGTTGTTGAAATTCATCCCTCTTATAATCTTCTGATGGGCAGAGGATGGATCCACAGAGTTCAAGGTGTTCTTTCCACTCTGTATCAAGTAATGAGATGCCTGGGGCCAGACGGAACCAAAGTGATTGACATTCATGGAGACCAGGTTGCAGCTAAAGAATGTTATTCTGTAACACTGAAACATGCCGGAAAGGGGAAAGCTCCCATTCGATTCAGCAAGTCTGAGATAGCAATTACAGGAGCCTCCTTCCAAGCAGAGTGGGGAGGAGGAGCCAGTAGGCTGGACTGAAGAACCCCTGTTTGATGTGCAGATCGATCAGTTCCGATCGGAACGGACAACCAGAATGGGGGAATGACTCGTTGAGGAGGAAAAGCAGGAATTAGTTGATTTTTTGTCTCAAAACGCAGATGTGTTTGCATGGAGTCACCTAGACATGCCAGGGATCGATCCTTCTGTATCTTGTCACTCCTTAAACGTTAACCCTAATGCAAAACCTGTAAAGCAGAAGTAGCGACGGTTTGCCCTCGAGCACAACCGAATTATTGCCGAGGAGGTTGACAAGCTGCTTGACGCGGGGTTTGTAAGAGAAGTGTATTACCCTGACTGGTTATCGAATATGGTCGTTGTGCAGAAGAAAAATGGGAAATGGCGCATATGCATTGATTTTACCAATTTAAATAAAGCCTGTCTGAAGGATAGCTTCCCGCTGCCAAAGATTGATCAGATGGTGGATGCAACTACTGGATATGAACGCTTGACCTTTTTAGATGTATTCAGGTTATAATCAGATCCCCATGGACCCCGCTAATGAAGAAAAAACTTCTTTCGTTACCGAACGCGGGACGTATTGCTACAAAGTTATGCCATTCGGACTGAAGAACGCCGGAGCAACTTACCAAAGACTTATTAGCAAAATTTTTAAGGAACAAATAGGGAAGACAGTGGAAGCTTACATTGATGACATGGTGGTAAAAAGTAAGAAGAAAGCTGATCATGTGAAGCATCTGCGAGACGTGTTTGATGTGTTGAGGCGATATAGAATGAAGCTCAATCCGACCAAGTGCTCATTCGGTGTAAGTTCAGGCCAATTCCTAGGGCATGTGGTTAATCTCAGAGGCATCGAGGCAAGCCCTGCCCAAGCAGATGCTCTGACTAAGAATGCTGAGCCGACGATAGTCAAAGAAGTGCAAACACTTACAGGACGGATTGCTGCACTGAACCGATTCATTTCCAAACTGTCAGATCGATGCAAACCATTTTTTTGACACAATACGAAGCCACAGCAGGCAGGTTTGGGGGGATGAACAGCGCCTAGTGTTAACTGCTCTGAAAAAGTATATGCAGAACCTTCCGGTACTGTCAGCTCCAGAATCGGGCGAAAAGCTGTTTTTATATCTCAGAGTATCCAGTATCACGACAAGTGGC